TTCATCAACACCCCGCCTGTAGAGAGAAGACATTTTCTTAAAGGCTTTGTTGTGTAGCCTCTGGTTTCCCAGTCTCCCGGACTGGGGCCAGTCGGCTTTAACAACAAACCCGCCTGTACAGAGAAGACATTCTTCTACAGGCCTTGCTGTGTTTGTTTGCTGTTTTGAAAGGTTTTCACGTTTTCAGCTATGGAATATAAACCCTGAAAACTATCAGCCATCTGCCTGTAAACGCTCTGCTGTTGTCCCGCCATCCCTGTCACCGCTACTGCTGGTCCCCCAGAAACCGACAAGATTAGCCGGACTGGCGAGGCAGCTGTTTTCAATTCCAGCCATGGCTTGTGGTGTGGCAGCTCAGCAACAGGGCAGATCATGCTTCTAGGTCTCTCTTGTTCTTGTATTTAAAACTCCTGTGGCTCAAAAAACATGGCTTCTCCATACAACATGTGACCGCTGACATTTTGACTGAGGTCAGGTGACTTAACTGCCAACTTTACTGAGAGTCAGGTCAGGTGACCAAGTTACGCCATCTTTACTGAGATATTCCCTGCCTGGTCCCCTAATGCTGACTCTGTTACTTATGTGTTTTGTGAATGGCATGCCTTTGGTAAGGTCCACCAAAAGCATCTATTTCGCCTAATTCCTGTTCATTCTGTGTGTGTGTGTGTGTGTGTGTGTGTGTGTGTGTGTGTGTGTATAAATGTAACTTAAATACACCTATGTTTACTGTTAAATGTTATAATAGTCTGTTCATTGTATCTCATTCCAGACTACAAACACATTCTCATGTTTTAAACTGGTATGTACTTTTAAGTCTCCTACAAAAATACTTTATATTTAATCCAACCGTGCTTTAAAATATTTTGAGCTGTTCTCTGCTATTGTCAGTTCTGCTGTTAACTTTCCTCTGCAAGCACTTTTTTCTTCTGTCTTTTACAACTGCAAATCTTACCTTTTAAGAGCCAGCACAATCAAGCTCAGACCCAACTCTCCAGGCAGATTCTATACTGTAGTTATAACTCATCTATACCTGGTAACAGCCCTCAGCTGCTCTGAGATCTGGGGAATATGGTATTTAAATATTTAATTTTTAAAAGATTTTTCATAACAAAAGAGACAGGTTGGCTCCTAGCAGCAGCACTAGCTAGGACTTCACGTGGCCATGCTACTGTGCACAGCAAGTTCTGAGTTTGTTGCTTTTTGCAGCGCCTTGCAAGCAAGCATGCAACAACTTGTGTGTGTGTGGGTGGGGGGGGCGGGTAATGGTAGTACCAAGCTGTTCTCAATGATAGTTTTCAAAGGTTTGCTATTTACTAGCTTTCATTTTGGGCTAGGTTTTGGGGGTTTTTTTTGTTTTTTTGTTTTTTTTTTTTTGTTTGTTTGCTTTTTTTTTTTTTTTTTTTTTTTAAACCTGACATAGCATCTGGGTAGAAACCTTGGTTGAGAAAATTCACCAGATTGGCCTGTAGTCACATTTGTTGGGCATTTTCTTGATGAGTGTTTGGGGATGTGGGAAGGCCCAGCTACCTCTGGACAGGTGGTCCCGGGTTGTATAAAAAAAAAAAACAAAAAACAAAAACCAAGCTGAGCAGATCATGAACAAGCCTGTGAGCTTAAGCTGTTAAAATATTTTTCAAACAGGGTCTTATGAACAAACCTAAGTGGCCGGGATGACCTTAAACTTCTGATCCTTCTGTCTCTACTTGCTGAGTGCTAGGATCAGAGGCATGTACCACCACAGCCAGTTCATATGGTGCTAAGGTTTGAACCCAGGCCATCACGCATGCTAAACAAGAACTCAAGTCTGTACCTGGCAGGTTGTCATGCAGCATTCAGGGTCTGATTGACAACCTGCCAGGTAAGATGTGCCTACTGTGCGTAGTGGCATGACTGTTAGGGGACTAGTTGTGGTCTAGAGTCCGTCTGGGCTTTAGTTGAGAAACAGCCTTTATCAAGCTGTAGATTGTTCACAGCCCAAGGTGGTGGTAGCACCCCTTATGCATGAGGTTCTGGGCTGTGTACGAAAGCTCGCTAAGCATGAGCTTGTGAGTGAGCCAGCAGAACTCCTCCATGGTTTTTCTTCAAGATTCTGCTTAAGCTCCTGCCAGACTTCCTTCGATGATGAACATGGGGAATTCCTTAGAAGGGAATTCACATCCGGTACTATGAAAGTAGTCAAAGGCCCATCGCGAGAGAGGTCATGAGCCCTACAGGGGAACATACTACTACTATTGTTTTGTTAAATGGACGTTACCAAATTGCCTTCTAAATATTTACGTTTCTACTGAAGCTTAGTACTACTTTCAGTCTTGGCCAATGGGCACCAATTAATGCTCATAGCTGGTCAAAAGTGCTGAGAATGACTTGGCTGAAGGAGTGCTCAGTCCTGAATGGGACATCTATATCAACTCCTCCAAAGCTCAGGCAACAGTGAGGCAATGGCAGAAAGAATGGTAAGAGCCAGAGATAGGAAGGAGTGCTGTGAAATACTACCTTCTTCTGGATGTGCTGTGGCTCACACTCATGAACCCGCACAAGAGCAAGCCAGCTGACATTCTAGCCTGGATGGGAGGACTCAGGATTTGCCCACACTTACTTGAGGAGCTATGGGCAACTGATGGCTGCCGGGGAGGGAGTAGATGAGCCAGTTTTCTTCAGATCACTGGTGGATAGCCCAACCCCCAAGCACATGCAGGTAGCACTAAGTGAAATCAGTAGGTTAGTTAAAAAATTAAAAATGAGGCCTGGAGGGATGGCTCAGCCGTTAAAGGCTAGGCTCACAACCAAAAATATAAAAAATTAAAAATGAAGGAGGCAGGGTGAAGTTCTGGAGAATGGGAGGGGGGACTGGGTTGAGTATGATACAGATATTCATGTATGACATTATCAAAGAATAAATATTCTCAAAAAATACACATTTGCAAGGCTATGGGGGGTGGGGCCTGAACCACTACCATATTCATCTGGCTTCCATCAAGACTCACAAATGTTATCTGCTACTTCATCAAGTATGATATTCTGCACACAGGTCACTTTACTAAAATGAGCAAAACGATGACATCATATCTCCAGTAACTTTAACTTGTCTTTCCAAAGGGAAAAGTTATATTCTGTCACAACTTAGAAAATCAAACATTACTCCAGATCATATAGAGTCCATACCACAACTTTCTGAAATGTCCCTCAAATGTCTTTAGTGGCCATGGTCAAGCACATAGGCTCGCAGTCCCAGCTCCTCAGGAGTCAGATGAGAGAATCATTTGTCCCTAGAAGTTAAAATCTAGCTTAAGAACTCAAAATCAATCAATCAAAAGCAAGCAAAAAACCAAACAGAAAAAAAAAAAACCACCCCAAAACCGGAGGCCTGGAGAGATGGCTCAGCGGTTAAGAGCCTGCTCTTCAAAAGGTCGTGAGTTCAATTCCCAGCAATCACATGATGGCTCACAACCATCTGAAATGAGATCTGATGCCCTCTTCTGGCCTGCAGGCAGACACACAGACAAAATATTTTATACATTATAAATATTTTTTAAAAAAAAACCACCCAGTTCACACCCTGCACTCGATCCTTTCAGTCACTGACTTTGTTCTTAGGTCTCACAACTGCCCCCCTTTCCACTTTTATTTTACTATCCCACATACTTAGACTGAGATCAAACACTACCTACCCCAGTGGAGTAGTAGAGCTTTGAGTGTATTTATAATTAATCTAAATATTTTTAAATAAAGCTGTTGTTTTTTGAAATCAATCTTACCCAACATTTGAGGCACTTCACACCATAAAGAAGGCTCCTTTGGGTACTGTCAGAAACAAACGTCCCTAAGTACTACTACTTTCCAGATCACTAACAGTAACATCTTTTTTTTTTTTTTTTTTTTTTGGTTTTTCGAGACAGGGTTTCTCTGTGGCTTTGGAGCCTGTCCTGGAACTAGCTCTGTAGACCAGGCTGGTCTCGAACTCACAGAGATCCGCCTGCCTCTGCCTCCCGAGTGCTGGGATTAAAGGCGTGCGCCACCACCGCCCGGCTAACAGTAACATCTTTACAAGTGAGAAACTCACACACAAATGCCAAACGGTAGGGTGTTTATCACCATCTGAGGCTGTGTAATATGAAAAATGGAAAACTAGAGACAAAAACTACCATTATCTTTTTACTTCTGTGTTCTTAGACTCTTAAAAACCCAAAAACTCTCAAAATCAACAGATCAACTAAATTAATATAAATTTGTAAAAGAATTTAGGATATATCTAGTGTGGAAGGCCTTTTTCATCTCTAGAAGAGAATTTTATTTCTCTTTCAAAAAGCTTTTTGAGACAGGATCCCACTATGTGGCCCAGGTTGGTCCCAAGCTAAAACTTTCCATGGGTACTGAAATTGATGTACCTGATGCCCACAGACGAGCCCCACCCATGCCAGATACACTCATCATCATCATCATCATCATTGCACCAACCAGCCATGTGACTAGGAAAGGCGCCAGATACACTTATCATCTCACCAGTCACGTGACTAGGAAAGGTCCACAAAAGCAAATGGCAAAACTGGGGCTCAAAACAAAGTCTGCACAACGAATAAACAAAATCCATCTATACTACAAAAAGACCAGCTACAGAGGATAACCACTTCCTGTTGATTTTTTACTTGGCGATTCATGTACTTAAGTTTAAAGATGACAACTTCCAGAAGCAAGAGTTTCCATCCACCTTATTCACTTTGCCAGCAGAGTTCACGCCACTAAATCTTGAACCACTCATGCTGCCTATGGCTTCCTGAAGATTAAACTCAGTTTGTCCTTATCTCTTGCCAAACCACCACCACCTCTCCCTTTCTTGAAAACTACTTATGCGACTCACTCATAGGTCTTGTGCACCAATACGGATCACAACACCATTATTCTAAGTCGAAAACCTTCACAGTTGAAGGTAGGGCTGTATCTTTTAAGCATCTGTGTCTAGTGAATTGCAATTAAGTATCAAAAAGAAAAGAAATTCATATGAAAACTTTTGCAATTTTCTAATTTAATAGAAATAACCAAAACAATGTGGTTTTTAAACAAGGCTTCAAACTAATCTAATACAACTTCTACAACACATTCCAGAGCATTGTAACAAGAATTATTTACAAGCAGCTAATGTATTAAATAACCACGAAAAGAAAAAAACTTGCTTTTATTACACGGCAGCAAAAACACAGGAACAGAACAATAAGAAATTGTAACCTTGTTTAAAAAATTAAATATGACCATTTAGAGAATACAATACCACAGAAACAGCACTTTTTAAGAATCATTCTGAAGGATAGTTAACTATGTGCAAAAATAGTAGTAATGAGGGGAGGACCAGTTCAAATACTGGAAGGAACTAGTAAGGCTGTGACTTGAATCCTTTTGTGTGTGCAGGCTTTCCAACTGCACACACCTTGTGTTATAGGCTTACATCCATGTTTCACTGCTCTAAAACATAGTAAACGCCTACATTTCTCAGGTCAGGAGTAGACATGCATTTCATTCTTACGAATGAAATTTAGGCCACAACTGAAGGGAGTATTGTGGCACTCCAAGATCGTTCTGGTGCCTCCATTGGGATCTGTTCAATGTCACACAGTATCGTTTTCAGTTTTTAAATAACACTAGAAAAGGGAGAACCTCGACTATACATTCTGTAGTTTTAACAAATATACCCAACTTACTTTTGAAGATAATTTACTTACAATAAAAATATATAAAGGGTCATGTAAGGAAACAGAAGTAACTAAGATGGGAGAGATACACTTCTGACCAAGTAAACCATGCATTTAGCCAGTAAAGAAGCTGTTATACCCAAGAGTAAATGCTGACATTGGAAATGTCTATGTAAACTGTGGCATATAAATTTTTTTCCTTAAAAAAGTACCATCAATTTTTTTTACTCAAACAGCTACTTTTAAAAAAATATGCAACTTTCCCCAATTTTTTAAAATAAAATGCCACAATATATTGTCATTACTTCCAGCATACATTTAAATTTCTTAATTTTTTTAAAAGATAGATTGGGTGATATGCATACAAACTTTCCTATAAAATCACCATCCAGGGGAGGGTTATGACATGCTATTAGGCAACAGACTCAAAGCAGCGTTATTGCTTTATCAAGGAAGCATTAACTGGAAGAAGTAAGTTAATCCAGGTCAGGTGTACAATCCAACTGCAATACATCTTGAAACTCTTAATCACCTTCAGCAGATAATTGGTAGAGGCAAATAGGGTGTGTATGCTTGACTACTGTGTGTGAGGACATGTGTGGAGGTGTATACGCTCATGTTGTGTGAGGGCACACCCTAGGGTACATGCGTGCGGGAGGTGTGTAAGCTCGCAGGTTGTGTATGAGGGTATATGTGGAGGTGTGTAGGGTGTGTGTGGCAGTCAGGACAGCTCCAGGTATTAGTCCTCACCTTCCACCTCCCACTTGCTGTAGCGGCACTGGGCTTCCAGGTGCACACTACTGTGGCCACAAACTGTGGATGCAAACCCAGAACCTCATACTTGGGGAACAAGTATTTTCTACTTACCAACCATCTCTCCAGCCAAAGAAGCTGTTTTAATTCAGGGACTTAGCGTGTTTATTTTTTTACATTTTTATTAAAGTACTTAATGATTCAACTTAATTCTGGCTACAAGAAATGAATTTTTGTACCTAATGCACTATATGTGAATGAGGCTGGGTACCAGATGTAAAGGCTAAGGGGGAAGGCCTACAGCATCTACTCCCCATTTTGGATAGAGCAAACTGTTTAATTACATCGTGGTAAACCACAAGCCAAGGGCATAGTCGGAAGACCTCTGAATCTGTTGGTTTAATAATTACATGGCAGGATACCTGCTGAGGTAATCGATAAATCTGTAATTTGCACACTTTAAAGCATTATGTCTTTGGATTAACTAAAAAATTCCAAAACCTATTATAACAAAGAATGAGAACTGACTTTTTAATAACCTAAAAATTCCGAGTAAGAAACAAAAGTGTGTGGGGGGGGGAGACAACAAAAACTCACAACCTGTTGATTCCAAAGAGGGCAATTTCAGCAGGTGAGCTAATGTTTTAGCATAGCTCCATGGTAACAGTTTGTTCAGAGCAAGGTTGATAATCTGACCAGACTCTAGAGCCCTCGCACACCACCCTGATAAAGCATTTCCTTCGTTCAGCTAAGCAGTGGAGAGTTAGTGCTGAGACAGGTAAGTTAAGGCCAGTACAACGGGGTTGAGAAACACTTATGCTTAGTTCTCTCATGGGAAAAGTAAACCTAAATTCATCAAGAGCTTTGAAGGATTTAAAGGAATCAACGTGTGAACTCTTTTCCATATCTGAGACAGAGGCTCTATCAAAAAATACAGTTATTGCATCTGCACCTAGGACTTAAAAGACGCTCTACATTTGTCTTTTAAAAATATAAACAGGGGCCGGGCGGTGGTGGCGCACGCCTTTAATCCCAGCACTCGGGAGGCAGAAGCAGGCGGATCTCTGTGAGTTCGAGGCCAGCCTGGTCTACAAGAGCTAGTTCCAGGACAGGAACCAAAAACGACGGAGAAACCCTGTCTCGAAAATCAAAAAAAAAAAAAAAAAATTATATATATACAGGGAAATATGAGATAATTTGAGTAAGAATTTAAGTTTTTTATACTTTTAAACCATACATATGTTAAAGCTAAACAGCCTGGAAACACAATGATTAGTGTGCAGAAGCGCTTTATGAAAGTTAGTGTGAATATCACTTAAGAGTGGCTTGTTGATAACAAATTAATTCCTCAGCAGTAGGGGTATCTCTGCTAACAGAAATGGAAGCTTCTAAATGGATGGTCTTGAATTAAAACAAGCAAAGAGAAAACAAAACTCCCATGTAACACGAGAATGGCTTTAGTGAGGAACATTTGCTTAAAATCTGCGCCCACTTGGCAGAGCTTATTTATAACATTACTAAGAATTTTGTAAAGAATTAATATGAAAAACAAATACAAAACACTGGCTCAGAAGCATCACAAAATTAAGTTAGGCCCCTATTCTCCCACTTGCCAAAAATATGCCCTTAGATATACATCTACTTGCAAATCAGAATCATGGATATCAAAGAAAAGAGAAAAATAGGTATAAATAAAACATCTTAAAATAAATTTTCGTCCCTTCATAAAAAAAAAAACCAACTTGAAACTTCAATAAAATAATAAATCAGTCTGGAGCATTTTTTTTAAATGAACCTTAATTTATAAGGAAAGAAAAGCTAGAAAGAAGCCAAGGGATGAAGCCAGTGGTGTGATCAATATTGTTTAAGCGCAGTATAAGAAGGCCTAAATCATACTCCTCTTTACCCACATCCCTTGTTAAGAAAAGAAAAACCCAAAGGAATCTGTATAATAATTTCTTTAGAGCACTTTATTTGATTCAATGCACACTAAAAATATTCACTTCTTCGACAATTAAGTCAAATAGTTTTCTGAGTACATCTACAGTCTGAACTGCTTAAACTGATTTTTTTAAGAGGCAAGTGATTTGCCACACATCTGCTGACACCTGAAGCGCTTCTGATGTTGATTCTACTTTGGTCACTTTGTAATTCTACTGTGTCCATACAGAAGTAGGACTACAACGTTTAATCCAACGGAGATGCGCACACAGTCTAGAGCACACTTGATTTGAGCATCACAACGAAGAGGAGAAAATAAACCAGATCGAGTTGGTCTATCTGCTTCAGGTATTACTCCTGTCATCAGGCAGTAAACAAAGGTGGGTGCACTCCAACTACCATTCACATGGGGATTGGCTCGTTCTCAGGATTTACTTACAAGTATCTTCTAAGTCATTTAAAGCCCCCAGTCCATGCACATGTCCCACTTGGTGGACAGATGAGTAATCTAACCCCACCGGGTTTATTTCAATATTTTGATATTTCAATAATAAGCTGCTTCTGAAGATTTTTTGAGAAGTCTGTTCTCTATTAAAATAAGATAGAACCTCAAAATATGAATGTGAACATTAGAAATAGACAGCATATATTACAAATCCATTCTTGATAGGAACATTAGTAAGAATACACATTAGCTTAAAAAACAGGCTCAGCAAATGTTGCTGATCTGCCAGAAGTCTGAGCTCACTATTTACAAATAAGACAAAGTGAAATACAGAAAATTGTACACATTTGGTAGCTGACAGATTTCTGTTTACCAATAGTGGTCTACTGGAAACTGGTACAAAGAAAGACTGGGTGAGAGTCAGTTGTCACCTTCTCAATCTAATTTACATGTACAGAAAATTTTGAAATAAATGTTCTGCCTTTTGAGGGAATAACTAACCGCATGATCAGATGATCTGACCAGTATGTGTAATTGTTTAGAAGGGTTTTCTGGAAATGACTTCCATAAAATCTGTATGATCCACTACTGAAGTTACCATATTCATTTCAGAACACCACTGAAGCTGACTATCAGATATCAATAGTTATGTTCCTTGACCCTATATCTAAGTAGAAAATAAAACTACATTTGAGTTCTTTAAACCAATTTAAAAACTAAGGCCCAATAGATCAAAATGAGAAAAAATACAGTGGCATGATTCAATGCATCTTTAGTGACATTCAAGTGGAATATGATCTACTCGATTTTTAACCAGAAAACAACCCATTTGTGTCTGTGTAGGAAGAGACTTATAAGTTGTTTGAGTAACTGTGTGCTCTAGCAGAGACACAATGATGCAACATGAGCCTCGCCTGACGCAGCATCCTGCACCAATTAACACACATGATCATTTAAGTTTCTAACAGTCAGAGAACCATCTTCATTTGTAACAAATCGTCAAACTCTTTCATGTCTGAATTTGCTCTTACTTAAAAGTTGCAGAGCTCTCTCCCCACTTCTTGACAAGAATGTTTTCTGTGTCCATTATTTCAATCTAATACTGTATGAAAGCTACCAGCTTCTTTAAGGAGGTACCCACTGTACACAGGATATTCCAGTAACACTTAAATAAAAGGGCGTTTTGTTTTGTTTCCTTCTTCTGTTATTTCTTTCCTTTTTTTTTAAAAAACAACTGATTTAAGTCCACGTCATTTTATTTTATATGCACCGGTCTCTCATCTGACTTTAGGCGTTTTCTGCGAGGTTGTATAAAGTCTTCATCAGAGTCTTCCGTTACTTCACCATCATCCTCTTCCTGCTCAAACTCTGGCAAAGGAGCGAAGGTCCTGTCTGAGTAGATCTCTGAGAGTTTATCTTCAAAGTACAACGCAACTGCTTTCCCTGCCTGAGCTACTTCTGAATCAGCCTGCAAGCAAAAGACAGGAATAGTCACCTACTGATAATGCATATTCCTTCACCAAGTTTGCATGGTCTGAAAAGCTTACCTTCAAATTAATCTCTTGTGTGTCTGCATAAACTTGAACAACTTTCATCATCTAAAAAGGATACCAGAGTCAAAAAAAAAAAGGGAAATTATAATCCTTTCTAAAGTTAAGAAACTGTATAGGATTGGTGACGAAAGTCAGCCATACTAGGGAGAACAAATTGCTAAAACCAGGTTAAGTGCTACCTAAAACTCTATAGAACATGGAAACTCTTTACAAAATTGTTAATAAAGTTACTTTGAAACCTCAATAACAATTCCATTCCACATTATTGAGGTCAATTTTAGTAGGAACTGATCTGAAGACATCAATCTACTTATTTGCGAAAGTATTTGCAAAACAAATATTAAAAGAAATGCTATTTTAAAAACAGCCAAACTTTCCACAAGATAATCAAAATTTTATCTTTATGGTAATACATTATCACAAATTAATTTTTTGTCAGGATAATCAGAATTTTATCTTTATGGCAATACATTATCACAAATTTTTTTTTGTTTTGTTTTGAGACAGGGTCTCCCTACACAGTCCTGGCTGTCCTGGAACTGCTCTCTACATAGGCCAGGTTGGCCCAGAACTAGCATATATCGGCCTGCCTCTGCCTCCCCAAGTGCTAGAATTATGGTGTGTGCCACCATGCCTGGCCTACAAATTAACTCTTAATAAAATAAGCAGAATGTGTCTTTTTGTCAATGATAGTACACAATAATATATCCATTTCAAAATAACCTATTTTTTAAAAAAGACAAAAAAAATCTAGATTTTATAGCTTATAATATGAAGTAAGATTTTACTGATTTGTTTTGAGGCAAAACTCATAGGGACTTTGGCTTGAGTATTAAGGCACCGCCTGGACGCCTCTAGAGACAGCTGTCGGAATTGGATTCTCATCTAAGACCATTTTCTCCTCCTATAATAAAAATCCTCAATAACAATAACAAACTTGACTTTATTCCAAAGACAACAAAAAGTATGCCCTTGACTGAGATTATCTGTTACATTTCTGTTCTTAAGGTATGGGTACCTTTAGCTTCCAAGAAATAGATAAAGTTAACGAAAGTCTCATTGCAGAAACCAAACCCTCGTGATTACATATTGGAGCAATTATTCAATGGGTATTCAGTTTAGTCTTAACAATCTGTTTATGTGGCCAGTGATGGAACTAAACATGGGCACTGTTAGGTTTCCCATAAGTGCCACAAATGTGGGTATACATAATCATATCCCACCAAATTACTTCAGACTACATTCTATATTCAACCACAATTCCCTTAGGAAAGGATATTCAAAGAACACTCTTAGTGTCTCATATTTAAGAATACACTCCAAATTTTAAATAATAAACTTTCTTCTCTGGAGCGGAAAATAAAATCAAATTTCACTCTTATAGAATGAAGCTTTGTTTTTTATAAAGTAAAAAAAAGTAAAAACAAGAAATAAAAACAAACAAGAAACAAAAAAACAAAACAGGATATTCTTTCATCAGGAAAAAAAAAACTCAAAAACCAAATAACCAGGCAAAGGAAAACTAACAAGCCATAAATACTCTATAAGTTGGAAGCTAACATACTTCATTAAACCTTGCACAGTTCTTGAAGATCAAACGGACATCAGCCACAAAATCATCTGGGATTTGGTAGTGCTGGGAATGTTTTTTCTGAAGCTTCTTTTTCACCGTCGATAAATCCATTGGTTTCTTTATAATTTTATAGTAGTTTGGTATCTATAAAATAAATCGTGGCAGGTCAGAATTCTCCAAAATATCAAACTATTTAATTTGAAAATGTACAGCATATTGATTATATTTGAGGTACAGCAAATATATTTCAAGTTTTCTACCCAATTGAATCTTGAATAACAAATCTTACTGCAAAACATGTGCTGGTTTCCATGGCTACTGGAAGTTCCAAAGGTCCTATCATTAATAAATATGAACGAGACAAAGCAACTAGCAGAAACTGCCTCCTTCAAAACTTAGTCATATCTAGCTCATTAGGTACTTATTTAAAATTTTTAAAGGAGAACGAAAATTAAAGTATATTAATGTTGTGGTTTAGAGCACAGTGTTGCAGAAGACATCCTCACCGCTTAAAGAATTTCAGGAACAGTGAAGGAAGGTTTGCATTTAGTGTTCTGACTCCACCTTTGGCCGCAAGTTTTCTACTCATGAGATATAAGTGTACACTGTAAGACTGCTTTAGGGTTTCGGCTACTCTTTTGAGACAGTCTACTATGCAGTTAGTTCATGCTGGCCTCAAATTGAAGATCCTCTGCCTCAGTCTCCGGAGCATCTACCACATTGGCAGCAGTACCATACTGAGCTAAAAGCTATCTGAATACATCATGAAAAGACTACAGAATTATTTTCTATTGTGAAATCCCTAAACTTAAAATAAAGGGGCTTTCTAGAATTGATGATTAGTACCTGTAAAAGACACTTTCCATTTGTTAAATCTTTTGTGCTTTTAAAATTCATTTCTTAGCCTATTTAGTAAACAGGTCAACTACTATTTAATAGTCTGTTACCATGGTGACATTCAACAACAAGTAGCTAACAAGTGCAGATAGCACATTTTATATTACTAAGGCAGTGAGGATCTCTAGCCTGTTTTCTAAATTGTAGTATTTTAAAGTCTTTATTCCAAGTCTCCAGTAGAATCAACACAAAACCACTAACATGCAAAATATTGTGTCTTTTTTCAATCTTAACTATCTGCATCAAGAGGACTTTCAAATGGCAAAGTCACTGCGAAAAATTCATCCATACACTTTTATTCAACTAACATTTATACATTTATTTTCTCTCTGAGCAACACTGGAACATAGCAGACATAGACTCATAAATAAAATAGTATTTCTACTATATAATTAGAAACGAAAGGCAGAAAATTGTGTTCTCAGTTATAATTTTAGCTGATATGGAATGTGGTAGTTCACACTTGTAATCCCAACTCTCTAGAGTTAGAGGCAGGATCCTGTAGAGAAAAGAAAAATAGAAGAGGAGGAGAGGAAGGAACTAAAAGAACAAGCTGTCTGCCCCCTCCTCCCCGGTTCAATGTTCTTCTCGTCAAAATTATTTCCCTTATGTCAACCTTAAAAGGAGAATGTAGAAATAAAAAAGTTTCTATCAGAGCAACATACACACAATATTTTTTATTTTTATTGTTTTAAAAGACAGGGTAAAGTGTCTTGCATAAGGCCAGGCTGGCCTCAAAATTGCTATCTTCCTACCCTTAGGTAGTACTAGCTACCCAAGCACTAGCAACAAATAAACCCATCTAACTAACTGTAATTTTAACAAATGAAAAGTTATAGCCATTTAACTCTAATAAGGTTCTAATTTTCGAATGAGGACATAGTTTAGTAGTGGAAAACTTGTTTAACACGAAGTCTAGATTCAATTTCCCAAACCAATACACACATATATTAATTAAACAATAGACCGTTAGCAATGTTATATACTATTTATATAAACATTTTATACTGATTGTTTTATATAATCTTCTAAATATTTCAATAAGGTTAAGAATAATAGTGGCACACATCTTTAATCCCAGCACTCCAGAGGCAGAGGCCCAGTGGATCTCATATACATAATTTTTTTAAATTGTAAAAACAGTTTTTTAGGAGCTGGAGAGATGGCTCAGGAGTTAAGAACACTGGTTACTCTTCCAGAGGACCCGAGTTCCATTCCCAGGAACAAAACAGCTCATAACTGTTGCTAACTATAGTCCTAAGGGATACAATGCCCTCTTCTGGTTTCCCCAAGCACCAGGCATGCACATACTGTACAAATATACATGCAGACAAAACATCCATATACATAAAAATAAATTTAACAGAATAGTAATTTTTTTAATTTTTAAAATATTTGTTTTATTTTTTAAAAAGGTGTTTACAAAGTATTTAACCCCAGCAGCGGGGAGGAGGGCAGAGAAAGACATCTACAAATTCCAGGACAGCCAGTTTTAATGTCCCCCATCCCCATCCCCCACCACCACCTCAAAAAAGGAAAAAGGTGATTAGAGTCTAGGATGAAAGACAAGAAAAGAAGACATTGCCCAAAGAACAGAAAACTTCAGTTAGGCTGATGTAAAAGTTCTATTGATCTACTGCCTGACTTACATGTAAATCACATTAATGATACACTGCATAGTTCAAAATTCTTTAAAGGAGTTTTGACATTCCATTCTCATCACAAAAAAGTTAAGGTAATGATGGGTGTGTTAATTTGATTAACTCTTTCAATTTGTATGGAGATCAAAACATCATATTATGACCTACAAATATACATAACTTAACAATTGAGTTCTAAAAGTTGGAGAAGTTATCAGAAGTTATTGAGTCACAGAGTAGTTAAGCAACTTACTGAAGAAGATCTGTCTAAGCCACAGCCCATACTCTGTGTTAGATTTCTTTACCAGGATAATACTAAGCATGCAACTCACCGAAACAGGAACAGGCTCCTGGAATTCAATACTTAATTCATGACAGTAGAGGTAAAGTAGGAGACGTTCACATTTCTGATCCCCAAAAGAAAAACAGAGACAATTTTTTTTGGGGGGGGGGGGGGGTCTGGCAAGATATGTTAGAGGATATAGCTACAAAGTATTACAACAAGCTGAACAGTGCCTTCTATATAATAGATCACAATAATTTTGCTTTCCATTAAATTTTGAAACTATGTTCTATTCTACTTTAAGTAAGTATATATCCTTAATAGAACTAAGGCAATTTATCTATTATTCATATTTACAGAAATATGAGTCATGAAAACAACTTACAGTAAATGAGTAAAAATTTTCACCATTGGTACCTAGTGCAATTCTCTAAGGCAGGCAAAAACAAGAATTCCTGTTTGTCAAAGATTCCACTCAGTTCAAAATGAACAAAAACTATCTGCAATCCAATTTTAAAAAATCTTCTCTTTTCATTCATCTTTTATCTTTTCTGAGAAACAGTTTTACTATGTAGCTCTGGCTGGTTTAGAACTTCCATGTAGACCAGACTTGACCTAAAATTTGTGACCACTCTCTTACCTCTGCTGACTTACAAGATTTATAATATAAACTATTATACTAAAATGTGTTATATTAGTAGTTTTATACTTACTTAAGCTTTGTCTAGCATTAGTTTCTATATTACAAACACATTCCTTCTCTTCACAGAGGATTTTCTAAGTATTAGATATTCAAGTATTAGATTAGAACCAAATTTAATTGTGATGACCACAGAACTACATAAGAGGTATTTGGTCAATAGAAATCAGGCTGAGATTCAAAAATTTGAATGAAAAGACTTTGAGTTTCATTTTTAACATGGGAAGCTATTAACAACGAAGTGATAAATTTACCTTTTTTTTAAAAAAAGAAAAAGAACATTACTTAAATACAGAAAAACATATTAAAAGGGCAAGAAGAAGAAACAAGGAAATTATCACAAAATTATCACAACTCTCTCTCTCTTCAGTCTGAAGATTTCATTGAGGTAAGAGCTTTCTGGTGGATAACTGCTTTGCTTCTCAGATCTTTCAGCTTGAACCCCAATATCTGTCTCTGGGTTTTATTATTCATGCTACATCTGTTCCCCAACAAAAAAAAGTGAAATATAGTGATATTTTGTTTATGATCTAACAAATAAAGCTTGCCTGAAGATCAGAGTAAAAAGCTAGTCTACTAGTTTCATACAGTGGTGGCACACACCTTTAATCCCAGCAGCCACACTGCACTCATAGAGGCCGGGCAGTATAGTGCACGCTTTTAATAACAGCACTAGGGAAGAATAAAGACGGGATGAGACAGGAACTCTCTTCAGTCTGAAGAGTTAGCAGAGAAAAGAGCTTTTTAGTGGTTGGCTGCTTTGCTTCTCTCATCTTTTAGCTTGAACCCCAACATCTGTCTCTTTGCTTTTTATTATCTGTGCTACAGTCCACGTAAGAAATTATGAATGTGTTAGGGTGGTAATAGTGGGGAGCTAAGCAAAATGGCATTATAATCATGTTTGACTTTTTATCTCACAGGCTTCTGGTCCCAACAATAGAGGTGAACAGTATTCCCATTTAGTGACTGGGAACACTGAGAAAGGAATTATTCGCCTGGCATTTGCTATCATTTTGGAGGGAGAGGATCAGAAATCAGGATCTTAGTTGAAATATACTAAGTATGAAGTCTGACCTGATGGTATAAACCTGTAACCTGAGCACTCACAAAGGAGAGCTACTGCAAATTTAAGCCCAGCCAGGGCAGTATAGTCATAGACTGCTACATTTAAAAAAAATTTGGTACACCAAATGATACAAAACGTACCAGGTAATATGCACAATACCCAGGGGTAGGGACTGTACACTGCATGGGTGAGAGAGGGAACACCTACACACATAGGCTAGCAACCACAAAATGACTATTAACAAGTCAGCTTCGACACTTACCCTTTGGTCCACAGGGCTTAAGCCCTGTGCCGTTTTCCCCTTCTTACTGTGTTGCATATTATCACAATCGTATTCAACTTCTGGCTTCCCAATATCTCTGCAAAATGTGCATATCCAGTCCCCACTGAACAAGGAAAAAGGCAATTACTCCACGAATCACAACAAAGTCTATTCTGGAGAAGATAAGTCCTTAGCTGTAAGTCTCTAGTTTCCCTAATTTCCAATTTTGTAGAGAAAAGAAGTTTATGTATTTGTTAAATCTCTTAACTTGTACAATAAATTCTCCAAAAACTTCTCCCAATGACACATCAATTGATTTCCTTCTGGAAATCTAGAAAATTAAACATTAAACACTAGTCTGTTCATGTCACAAAGTCAATGATCAGTTCTTACATAAAAATACCTGATAGTTCTAATTCTGGGACATGAAGAATTACTTTCTTGCAAGCACAAAGACCTAGTTGGCACCTGTAACTCCCATCACAGGGGGACAGAGATGGAGGAACCCTGGAGCATACTGGCTAGTAAGCCTAGCTTTTTGAGTAGGTCAAATAGCCAAGAAGAAACAACACCCAAAGCTGTCCTCTGGCCTATACATGCACCTCCCCATACAACGGCATACATACAAAGAAACCGTATAGAGTATGTGTTTTAAAATATTCTAAATACACATAAATATACTATAAATTAATACACTATAAGTAATATAGTGCATTAAACACACACAGATAACGAACAGTCTTTTTCAGAGCCACTCAAAAACCTGGATATACAGACACATACAGGTACGCACAAACATATATATTCCTGTAACTTTTAACTCAAATAAAGCATAGTTTTTAAAATCAGGATTTCTATTGAATTATAAATTTCACAAATTATTTGTTCATATGTTTTATTCCCTGTCTATAAATAAATATACAGAGATAAATAGAGGTATATTAAAATAAGTAGATAAACAAAACCTAATACTAGGGAGTTTTATATAGAATCTATGTCAATAGTTTATATTCCCCCCATAAGTGTCTGCCTTTTAAAACTGGCAGAATCTTAGCTTAATCCCAGCATCAGGGAGACAGAAGAGGTAGAGCCCTGTGAGTTCGAGGCCAGCCTGGTTTACATAGTAAGTTCCAGGACAGGAGAGGGAGAGAGGGAGAGGGGGAGAGAGGGACAAAGAGAGAGGGGGAGAGAGGGAGGGGGAACTGGTAAGATGGCTTAGAACCTAAGGGTCCTTGCCACCAAGCTTGATCATTAGTTCAATTTCCCAGAACCCATACAGTGGAAAGACTGACTTCTGTAAGTTGTTCTCTGACCCCCATACATGTTCCACAACATCTGTGTACACGTGTGTATATATGCACGTGTGTACAGACATACACATAAACATGTAATAATTTTTAAAAACCACCTTCTTTATTAGTTCATTACCAAATCATATCTGATAAAATTTAGGTACGTAATACAATAAAAAAACAAAACAAAACAAAAAAACCAAAACCAAGAACAACCAAAAAACTATCCTGGCACTGTTTAGCTATTTTTCCTCCATCTTAATGCTTGAGATTGAACCCAGGGTGTCTTATGTATACTAGGCACATGCTCCACCACTGGGCTACATATTCTCAGCCTCATTATCTGCTGGTTTTGCAGTGAAAAAGTTCGATCTTTAAAATGGGTTTTTATGAGAAAAGCCCGAATAACTTTCCACTAGACTTTAAGATGAGAGAATAACAGGATTACAAATCAATTCTTTCCCTGGTACCTTGGAAAGCTGAGAAGCGTTGGAACATGACAAGTAAGATGAAAGACCTTCGGACATTTTTCACAGCATAACAGATCCCCTCCATTCTGGCAGACCGCGCACCAGTCTTCATTCGGGTCATCATCTTTGCTAGTGCCATCTCCTCCAATCCTTGCCGACCTGTGCATGAGGTTTCGCACTGGAGACTTCCCATTGACCAGGCTACTGAGTCCTGACTGTCTGCAGCTTTCATTCGTATCTGTAGGTTCTGTTTTCACGTGGTTCTCCAGGCCTGCTAATGTATCCAGCTCACTCTCTAGATGGAGGTTAGTTGAAAGAGGTGGTGTCAAACTACTCTCAGGACTGCTCAACTACGAGAAAACAAAGACAAATATTTTTAGAAAATCACTTAATCCTTACTTATAATACAGCACATATGTATATACATTAAGGTTAAATTAAAAAACATACATAAAAATTATTCTGGAAGCCGGGCGGTGGTGGCGCACGCCTTTAATCCCAGCACTCGGGAGGCAGAGGCAGGTGGATCTCTGTGAGTTCGAGACCAACCTGGTCTACAAGAGCTAGTTCCAGGACAGGCTCCAAAACCACAGAGAAACCCTGTCTCGAAAAACCAAAAAAAAAAAAATTATTCTGGAAATCACATTAGTGAAACAAAAGAATATAAAAAAATTGCTGACATATGCTAACATGATTTTTCAAGGTTTGGTCCCTCTAATATTGGTTCACTCAGGTAATTTGGAAATTTAACCATTATACAAAGTGATTGAGAAATTTTTTTAAATATTTTATTTATTTATTTATTATGTATACAATATTCTGTCTGTGTGTATGCCTACAGGCCAGAAGAAGGCACCAGACCTCATTACAGATGGTTGTGAGCCACCATGTGGTTGCTGGAAATTGAACTCAGGACCTTCGGAAAAGCAGGTAATGCCCTTAACTTCTGAGCCACCTCTCCAGCCCAATGATTGAGAAATTAACTAACAATCATACTTTTTCTTACAGAGAGCTTATTACAATTTACTAATCAAAATCAGTTATATAGCATTTGAGAAGTATTTTGTACTTTTCTTTGGCACACATATTATTCAATTAATGCAAGATTATGGCAATGTAAAATAGATCTTTTACCAGACCATGCTCTTCAGTGGGGGCACTTTTTTTTCCTTTTTTAAATTATAAATGCTTGACCAATAGCTCAGGGTTATTACTAACTAGCTCTTACAACTTAAATTAACCCATTTCTATTAATTTATGTCATGTGACTTGTAGCTTTACCTATCCTCCAGTATGTCTTCCTCCCGGTGCATCTCCTGATGACATTCCCAACTCCACCCTCCTTCCCAGCACTCTCTGCTCCAAAAATCATACCTAGCTACTAGCCAATCAGCTTTTTACCAACATTGAGACCAATACATATTTACACTGTACAAAGATTGTTCCATAGCATTTCTAAATTTATTAAGCTATTATCATAGTGTGTGTGTGTGTGTCTCCACTATGTGGTTCAAGTGAGCAAATACAGAAATAATACTAATTATGCTCAAGTTACCAAAAAGTAGAAAAGGAAATGATCTTTCAAACACTCTCAAAATGACAGCATAACCCTGAAAACAAAACTCAGTGTCAACAAAAGGAGGAAAACCATGGTGAGCATATGTAAAAATCCTCAAATAAAACACTGCGAACTGAACTTAACAATGCCTTTGAGAATCTTCAGTTAGGATTCATCACAGGAAGGCAATAATTGTCTAATATACAACTCAGTAAACAAGATACTCCCTGTTAAAGTAACGAACATAAAGTCCATAGGTTCACCTTTAAAACATCAAAAAAATAAAGTTCAATATCGCATGATGAACGGAAAGTAGTGAGCAAGTAAAGTATAGCAGAAACGCATTCCAACAAAAGAAAAGAAATTCATGATAATCTAATAGGCTGTATGTTTCATGGGGAAAAGCTAAAAGCTTGTTCCTAAAAGAGAAAAAATAAAGAAATGTTCACTTCAACTACCTTAAGTCAACATACTTCTGGAATTCTTAGCCATGACAATCAGCCAAAAGACGTGCAAAGTGGAATAGAATTCATAATGTCACTATTTACAGGTGACACGATCTTATATATATAGAAAATTTCCCAGACTCTATCAAAATATTCAAAATTAATAAAAATGATAGAACATCTGAAAAGTAGTGAAAAATATCGCTGCCATGAGGAACTCTCTGAAGTAGAAATCAACGACTATATGGCTATATGACCTAGCAATCATATTCATATTTTGAGGAAGCATCTGCACTGCCATGCATACGTTATCATAATCACAGTGGCTAAGAATCAGAGAAATCTACATGTGAATGGTGGCTGAGGGGATGAAAGTAATGCACACCTGTACAACGGAATAAACCCTGACCATTATGACAGCAGGGTGGAGGTGAGTGAGCAGAGACAGTCGCTTACATGTGGGATAAAGGAGAAGTTGATGTCATGGAAAAGAATGCTGGTTACCTAAAGTTAAGGACAGTAACATGGGGAGAATCTAGGAAGTTTTATCAGTGAGTATTAATATATCATTTGGGAACTTTCTAAATTAAGAGTTTTAGCTGAGAAGATGATGACATTGTTATAGACATCTAACTAAGGTTGTAGCTTTTTAATCTATACATTGCAGTGAACATAATACATTGAGATTCCTATGTGTCAATAACACAGATAGAAAAATAAAAAGCCTGGGCAAGAAGAATAATAAAGCATGAAATAAATGAAGATAGGTTTGAACTTTCCTCCACTGTTTTATAAACTGCATAAACTATTTCATCTAAGAAACTCTAGAATGGTTACTATGAGACAAAAAGAAAATCTAATACAAAGACTTTGATCAACAATCTTCTTTTATATTAACTATCTTAGTGCTGAGCTCCTAGGTTACAGACCACAGTTAAGGTTCTCTTGTGGCCCTAAGATCCTATGTGTAAAAGGAGACCATTATTAGAACATAATTTCGCATCGTGGCATTAGCATAAATATAAACTTCAAGATAATATCAAGTGATACTTAATGCAATCAAGTCTTTTCTGATTAATTATAGCTGACTCTTAAGAGCAGAAAGAGAAAAAGAGATGCTTAGCTTGTGTCAGACGTAAGAATTTAAAGACAAATAGATATGCCTAGTACGACGGAAGATAAGCAATGTGACCTCCTACGTCTTTTTAGAGCCTAGGGGAGCTTACCATACAGGCACTCCTTCTGCCATCCTCTGTCTTCTCTTGTTTCACAGCTCCTGAAAAGCTGCAGATCTCTTCTTCAGTCCCAGGTTCTTGCTTGACCTTCACCTGATCAGATTTGAAACTATGACTTTTCTCAGCAGTTCTTCCTGAAGATCCACAGCTAGTAAGAAACAAAAGTCACATTTGATCGTAAAGCATAAATAAAAGGAAAGTACTATTATTAAAGATTGTAGACAATTACCTCAAAAAGGAATTGTAAAAGACATAAGCCCAGACCTTAAAAGTACATTTCATGATCCAAAATCCATTTAAGGATCCTAGTAAGTGATTACACTTCCATGCCACTACAATTTGAACATCCATATCTGAAACACCTGAGATTAGAGTTTTGAGACATGTTTTCCTACTCTGAAATATTTACAAATACAGAGTGGGATGAGTTGGGATATGACTCAAGTATAAACATGAAATCCATTTATGGTTCTTACATATACAACCTGAAAGTAGTTTCATACAATATTTTAAGTATACTCGGCAACTTGATTGCAACCTATTGTAATGTGAGATTAGCTATGGAATTTTCTACATGGAGCATCATGCTAGTGCTTGCATTTTGGGAGTATTTCAAATTCCGTGTTAGGGATGCTCAACCTGTAGCATAAAACATCAATGATTTTGCCTCTTTATATAAAGATTCCAACACTAGCATCTCAAACATCTAAAGAATACAACATCAGCACAAGCGGTAAAGAAAGCCTCACAAAGAAAGATTATTTCAGATTTTTGGGGATGACTGGAAGAACAGAACAATAAATAATAAACAACCTGGTACAAACTTACTAGAATCAATATAAATGAAAGTGGAGAATATAGATATGTGGTTAAAGGTTTTACATAAAGCACAAACAACGAAAACAATTCACCACTGAGCAAAGTAAATAAGACTAGTATAGCTAGGGGCTGTAGAGATGGCTCAGTGGTTAACGAACTGGCTTCTCTTCCAGAGGACCAGGTTCAATTCGCAGCAGCGACAACTATCTATAACTCCAATCCCAAGTAATCCAATACCCTCAAACAGACATTCACGCAGGCAAAACATCAATGCACATAAAACTAAATTAAATTAAATTAAAAAAGAAAAGACTAAAACCGGGCTGTGGTGGCACATGCCTTTAATCCCAACACTCGCGAGGCAGAGGCAGGTGGATCTCTGGTGAGTTCGAGACCAGCCTGGTCTACAAGAGCTAGTTCCAGGACAGGAACCAAAAAGCTAGAGAAACCCTGTCTTGAAAATCCAAAAGACTAGTGTAGCTACTCAGAGTGAAGTTTTCACTGTTTATCTTTCTTCTGAAAGCACTGGTTATTCAAAGTACTAAAAAGTCAACCAAGTAGTTTAATAGGAACAGCTTTCAGAATAGATACACATATAAAACCCCAATTCTCTAATATCTTAGTTAAAACTTCATATTGTATTAAATTAAACAAAGTACAAAACAGTGAAAAGAATGTATTGATGGAGGAAGGTCATTGGTTAATAATGAAACTGCTTGGCCTGATAGGTTAGAACGTAGGTGGGTGGAGTAAACAGAACAGAATGCTGGGAGGAAGAGGAAGTGAGGCAAATGCCATGCCGCTCCTCTCTGGGGCAGACGCGATGAAGCAAGCCACCAGGTCAGACATGCTGAACCTCTCCCGGTAAGACTGGTGCTACACAGATTACTAAATATGGGTTAAGCAAGATATGAGAGTTTGCCGAGAAGAGGCTAGATATAATGGGCCAGGCAGTGTTTAAAAGAATACAATTTGTGTGTTGTTATTTTGGGGCATAAGCTAGCCAGGTGGCTGGGAGCCGGGTGGCAGGAAGGCAGCCCGCTGCTCCTTCTACAATGTATTCACTGTTTAATCTTAAAAACCTATTTCTTAGCTCTATTCAAAGGCTGAAGGAAAAAAAAAACGAACAGTTTAGAAGTAATGAATGCTCTTAATACCAAGTAAACATTAAAATTGTGTTGGAATAAGTAAATTCATAAAAGTACAATAGTCAAACTCCTGGAACACTACTGAAGGAACCTGGAAATCAATTCATTACAAAAGTCAATAAAGAGCCGGGCGGTGGTGGCACACGCCTTTAATCCCAGCACTCGGGAGGCAGAGACAGGCGGATCTCTGTGAGTTCGAGGCCAGCCTGGTCTACAAGAGCTAGTTCCAGGACAGGAACCAAAAGCTACGGAGAAACCCTGTCTCGAAAAATCAAAAAAAAAAAAAAAAAAGTCAATAAAGAAAATTTATCTTGCTGCCCCTTAATTCAATAACTGACAAGGTTTCTTTACAGAAGCATTCTAAAGCAGTAATTATCAAAATAATATTTTTCAACCAGTAAAGATACTTGACACAGAGCTCAACAACCTCAATTTGAACTCCAGAACCCACATGGCAGAAGAAGTTATTCCCATAAACACGCCCCTCCACACAAATAACAGGAAAATTTGAAGAGCTCATTGGTCAGCCAGTAACCAAATCTGAGCTCCAGGTCCAGTGATTGTCTCAAAATGTAAGGTGAAGATGTGAACAAGACACCTTACATGACCTCTGGCCTCCACACACATACACTGCCCATATGAACTCAAACCACACATACCAAAAAAAAAAAAAAAAAAGTGCTCCCAATGGAAGCACACAATACTACAAATGAAGTATTCTTGCTTCCTAATTAAACATGCTCTATTAAATTTCTTATTTCTAAGGCTTATTTTTAAGTGTGTGTGCAACTCTGTGTATGTGTGCACGCATACACCCAACTTAGGTGCCTTCAAAAGCTAGAAGTGGTAGATATGGCTAGAGCTGGAGTCACCTGACATGGATGTAAGAGTCAAATGGCTCTTAAATTCAGAGTTACCTCTCCAACAAGTCGCCACACCTGCAAACCTATGCTCTAAACTGCCCACACTGACAAAAAGGGAAGCAAATTAAAAACAATGAGAGAATTAGAAATTTACAAGAGAAAATTCTACATCTGGAAAAAAATTAAACTGATCACCTATACAAACCAATCTGTTGATGATAGGTATAGGATTTATTTAAATGTGGTTCAAAGAAATACTTGTTTTAAATAAAGCATTTATGTGGATAAATTGGTAACTTAATCAACTGGACCTAAACAATACTGAATAGTCCACAAGTAAAATGACATAATTTCTGAGTTTTGTTTCAAATAAACCAGAAAAGGAAATGGAAAAAGAGTACAAAGAAGACTGGGTATAATAAATGTACTGACTGCTGAAACTTAGTATATAAAAATGAGTTTACTTTTATTAACTACATTTGAAATTTTTCTTAAGAAAAAAGTTTTAAGTAACATAACACCATAAAAACAATAACAACAAAAAAAAACCTCACCTGCCTCGACTGCCGGTGCTAGATGTACTAGGAGGTCTCACGGGTGTGTGAGAATTGGGTAAGCCTAAAAAAAACAAAAGTCAGATTGAGGATCAGAAGATTCAGACAATACTGAATGACTCAGAGACTCTTGTAAATCACAGACAGCTGTAAAGTCAGAGATGGCAAATATGATTAGCAGACACCGACCAGCTTCTTCCACCTGAATCCAGACTCACCCCAGTATCTTATAAGTATTGCCCAAGAGCAAGAAGTAGTAGATTGAGAAAGTTATCATTTCTTCACATCACAATAGACTATATATAGTCCTTTACTCTTAAAAAATTGAGAGCCGGGCCGTGGTGGCGCACGCCTTTAATCCCAGCACTCGGGAGGCAGAGGCAGGCGGATCTCTGTGAGTTCGAGACCAGCCTGGTCTACAAGAGCTAGTTCCAGGACAGGCTCCAAAACCACAGAGAAACCCTGTCTCGAAAAACCAAAAAAAAAAAAAAAAAATTGAGACAGTGTTCCATTCTATAGCCCAGACTGGCCTTACATCCTCAGCTGTCCACTGCCTCCGTCTGAGCGCTGACACTGCAGTGACACACACACCAATCAGGCATTCATCCCTTTTCAACATCCTGAAAAACAAATCTCACTAAAACTCAACGATATAATTCAAAAAAATGTTAATATACCTTATGTAAAAATTTTTACCTCAGCCAGGGAGTAGTGATGTATACCTTTAATCCCAAGCACTGGGGAGGCAGAGACAGGCAGATCTCTATGAGTTTGAGGTCAGCCTGGTCTACAAGAGCGAGTCCCAGGACAGCTAGGGCTATTACACAAGGAAACCCTGTCTTGCAAAACAAAAAGCAAAAAAACATCAAAATGAAATAAAACCCACCATATATGCATGCGTATTTGAAAAACGAAAGAAAAGTCAACAAACCTTGAGAAAAGCAAATTATCCATCATAATCCAAGTGATCCTCATTTAACCAGTTGAAGCCCTTGAAAAGTTGGAACTATTCCTTCCTTTCAGTCCACTTCTGAGTTTTACACTGTACACTAGACTGTAAAGTAACTCTTCCCTGAGTCTCTAGCCTGCAAAAGTGCCCTGCAGATTTTGGGCTTGCCAATGCACGGAAAAATAATCAGGAGAGCCAATTCCTTAAGAGGATTTCTTTTCCATCCTCTGTACCACATCATGTGTGTAAAGTGTATATACATATGATGTATCTCCACACACACACCTCCCTTTTGTTGCTGTTTTTACCTAAATACAGATACCAGGAGGCAGCCTTCACTCCTCCACCCCTACCTGAAGGTGTTAAGAGCAATGAAGCAATATCCCTGTTTGTTTTACCTGAAGATCCGGGTGATAAAGCAGAGGGTCCTGGGGAAGGATTCATGGTACTTGTAGGCTGTGGGGGTAGATGACTGCCTGAGATATATCTACTCAGTAGATTATCTAAACTACTTGAGCCAGCATCTTCCAACTAAAAAGAGATAAAAATAAATTTGCTTTGATTAAACTGAGGATGAATAAATTAATGTCACTGTTTGTACTTTAATAAAACAGATTATGCAATATCAAGTTCAACCTAACTGCTGCTTCCTTAGGCTCTCCTGAGAACAAACACAGTATGAAGTTTATGTTACTGAAAATGTAATTTATACTATACAACAGATACCCAGCTGCTAAGACAAACTTAATAATTCATTAAGCCCTGTCTAACTACAAAAATAGTTCTGACAGGCCCGGCAGTGGTGGTGCACACCTTTAATCCCAGCACTCGGGAGGCAGAGGCAGGCGGATCTCTGTGAGTTTGAGACCAGCCTGGTCTACAAGAGCTAGTTCCAAGACAGGCTCCAAAGCTACAGAGAAACCCTATCTCGGAAAAAAAGAAAAAAAACTCTGACATACTAACAGTTCACTTTCTTTTCTCAAAGTTGCTGGAGTACCCTTGTCCTAATTCTCCCCTTCTGTAGTGTCCCATCAGAATCATTCATACAAGGATAAATACAAGTCAAAACCCAACTTTAAGCACTGAGCAGTTTTTACATCAGCATCCAGCCTGAGCAAGGTGCATCACTGTATACAAAAGAAAGAAAAAGCAGGAAATCTGAACTCATTTCATACTTAAGAGGCAGCAGGATAAAGTTAGAGGATAAACCATTGCAATTTTGGGACAGTTCTCCAAAAAAAGAGCATCAGTTTCCTGATCCTAAAATATGTCATCTATCCTGCAGAATGTGATGATTCAGTGAGGAAATTTTTACACAAGTAAAAAGACACTGCGGAAACTATATGAAAATCCACACTATTAATTGTCAATCTTGCTTGATTCTATTTATTCCCACAATTCAATCTGTTCCCCAGACAAAGGCCAAATTATTTCTTATACAAATCTATTTCTGGCTTAAGAAAAAACTGTGCACTTAGTGCCTGTTCTCTTTTCTCCCTAAAAGTGAACTAAGTTTTACAGCAATCTCCAGCATCATCAAATGTACAAACAATTGATCAAAAAAGTGAGCTTGTCCAGTGGTAGATACATATATTTGACTTGTCCTGAAACTGCTGAACTCTTTTTTCCAGGTGGTCGTTTTATTTTACATTCCCACCAACGGTATGTGAGGAACCTAATTCCTCTACTTTCTCACCAACACTATAGTCAATATGTAATGTTTCAGTCATCATTTCCATAGTGACTAGAATTGATTTAAGTGAACAGACTGTTATGTTTTTAATTTAAATTTTAAGATTTGTTTGTTTATGGTTGTTCTGCCTGCATGTATATATGTACATATGCATGTGACATATATGCCGTGACCAACAAAAGAAAGAATCATGTAGTTTTAAAAGCAAGAAAGCTATAGGAACTGACAAGAAAAAGGGGGTAGTTTCATTTTTTTCTGATTAACTAAAAAAAAAAATCTAAAACGGTTTCTTTTATACAGTCTACAGAGACCTTCTGAACTAAAAAAAGGGGAAGGAAGAAAGGAAGAAAGGAAGAAAGGAAGGAAGGAAGGAAGGAAGGAAGGAAGGAAGGAAGGATCTGTTAGAATATTCTTCTCATCCCTCCTCACCTACCACGTAGCCCAAGCACAAGGACCTTGTTGAACACATGATCAAATTAGAAACCCTTTATGAAGCTCACAGGAGTCCAGCACCCCTTCCTACTTTCTCTAGACTGCTTTCATGCCATCCCTGTCTCCTTTTCGTTTCCTCACTGGCCTTATTTTTGCTGTTCAAAAGATCTTTTCTACCTCATTGAGTTTTTAAATTGTTAATTTTACTTCATGTAGTTTATTGCCAATCACTGCTGTCCTAATTCCTACTCACCCTACAGGTTTCAAGGAAGTTTAACTCCTTACTAGATTTACTCTGTGCTTTCCTCTTTAAGAAACAATCATGATTAGGATTTTAAATATGTATACTCTCTGCCAAGAAGCCTCTCGTCTCCAGTGTTCCTCAAGTAAGTGCTTAACATATCTGTCAAGTAAATATTATGTTTCCTTTTAAATATAAAAATCTCTTGGTTCTTCCCCTAAAGTTATTTTATAAAAATTATAGTGGAGGCAAGCTAATTATAACTAATATTTATTAAATATATACATTACAGACACCAACTTACATAAATTATTTAATTTTCCTAGTAAACTTAAAAGGCAAATTCAATTAGACTCAACCATTTAAGAAATTAAAGAATGGTTGGTTGGGTGTGGTGGCACACACCTTTAATCCCAGCACTTAGGAGGCAGAGGCAAGTAGATCTCTTCTCTTAGTATGACGCCAGCCCGTTATCAATAGATTGGGCTATACAGGGAGACCCTGTCTCAAAAAACAAAAACAAACAAACAGAAACTACAAACTCTAATCTCACTTTCCTACACCGCCTGCTGCATTACAAGCAAGTGTTGATCCTTTGAGCTGCACACAGGCATGTGGAAGCCATTGGAGCAGTCTGCAGAGTCACGTTCTCTTCAGTCAACCTTGCAAGGTTTCTAGGGATGAATGCAGATGTTAGACTTGTAAACAAGGGCTTCTGCCTGCTGAGCCTCCTGGTGGTCGGAAAATGCAGTCTGCTTTCATGAGAAGGTGATAGGAAGTTGTAAATGAATAGCAGAATGCTTCATATTTTAATGTTTCACTTACAGTAATAGTGTATGTGCTTGATTGATTAATACAATAGGCGCATTGGCAGATTGTAATATTTTCCTTCTGACTGGTAAAATAGTTTTAATTAGGTTCAAGGTCAGGATTTCAGTATACTGAGGTCTAAAAGCAACATATTCCTGGAAACATGGATCATTTAGACTATAGCTGCATTTCCTTCAAATATTTGGGAACTTGTCACATATTGGGCTCTAGGTTCTGGTTGTCTAAAGATCAAAGAGAAACAATCTTTGATCTCAAAGGTCTTACCATGTAATAAGGATATAGTTTTTTTAGGCATGTTCTAATCATGAAGTTATTCCTCATGTGGGTATATATAATGATGTACACACCCCACAATAATTTATTTTTTAAAATTTATTTATTTTTTATATATACAGTGTTCTACCGTATACATGCATGCACAATAGAAGAGGGCACCAGGCCGGGCCGTGGCAGCGCACGCCTTTAATCCCAGCACTCGGGAGGCAGAGGCAGGCGGATCTCTGTGAGCTCGAGACCAGCCTGGTCTACAAGAGCTAGTTCCAGGACAGGCTCCAAAACCACAGAGAAACCCTGTCTCAAAAAACCAAAAGAAGAGGGCACCAGTTCTCATTATAGATGGTCATGAGCCGCCACGTGGTTGCTGGGAATTGAACTCAGAATCTCTGGAAGAACAGCCAGCATTCTTAACCTCTGAGCCATCTCTCCAGCCAATAACTGAATTTTTTTTTAAGGTCTCACCTCATTTTTTAAAAAAAAGATTTACTTATTTGTTTGTTTATTTATTTATTTATTTATTTATTTATTATGTATGCAGTGTTCTGTCTGTATATATGTCTGCAGGCCAGAAGAGGGCATCAGATCTCATTACAGATGGTTGTGAGCCATCGTGCGGTTGCTGAGAATTGAACTCAGAACCTCTGGAAGAGCAGCCAGTGCTCTTAACACCTCTGAGCCATCTCTCGAGTACCCCTCACCTCATTTCTTTCTGGCTATCTAATTGTCAAATTATAACATCTTAGGAAAAAGGCTAATGGTAGTAATTCCCAACCAATTTCATATCATCTATCTCTTCAATATTTTATTATCTCCCAGTAGTGAGCACTTTTTCAAGCCATTGCTAATAGTATTTTAACATCTAAAACAAAATCATTATGCTGACAACCAAACCACACATTACATTAACATATTCAAGTACAAATCAGCTATTTTCTGGATTGTGCAAAATAGTTAAGTCTGAGAGTTTATCTCTGTATTTCATATTAAACTTATTATTTGCAATATTCATTTACTTTGATTAATGTCAATGTTGGATTTCTCTATGCGAATTCCTAATTTGGCCTAATTTCAGCTCCATTACATAATTTCTTGGAATATTATTATTGTGACTGCCAGACAAAATCAGTCTTTTGGAATGCACGACTATACTTTGTGTTAAACAATTCTTCTAAATCCCTGTTGCTTAATAATGCCATTCACAACACAAAGCCATTACTCATTCAGCACTCAGTAATGTTGGTGATGCAAGGAAACCTGCCCTATGAAAAATTATGTAAAAATACAGCATATAAAACTTAAAAATGAAAATAATGACTACTATTGATGGGTGTATTTATTATACTTTTCTGGTTGTTATAGTCCTTGCAGTTATAAGAAGACTTCACAACCTGGCATAGTGACGCACGGCTTTAATTCTGACACTTGGGAGGCAGAGGCAAGTGGGTCTCTGAGTTGGGAGGCCACCTTAGTCCATATGGTGAACTCTAGGGTAGCCAGGACTATAAACTGAGAATCTGTCTTTCAAAATAAATGAAGGAAGGTAGGTAGGTTGGTTTCTTATACATGATACAGATAAGCACTATACCACCAAGCCACATGCCCCAACACAAAGTTTACTCTTAAAAATGTTTGCTTTCCGTGTTATGATGGCAACAGCTGCATAAATTGAATGCTGAAGGGAAGTACCATGCTCATCAGCAGGTGGCCAACACAAAACAAAATCTGGTAAAAAAAAAAAAAAACATGGTATTTTTTGGAGGTTTTTTTGTTTTTTTGTCTTGGCTTAAAAAACAAACAAAAGAAAAGCTTACTTGTCTTTTGTTTATATATTACGGCTTCCAAATTTGTATCTCTATGGGATTTCTGCATCCATATCTATATGTGTTCATTTGGCTCCTTTTTTCTTCCTGTCCATTTGTTTTGCCCTATTGAAGTTATTTTTATTTTATACTAAAGAAATAACTTACACACACACACATACACAAGCTTATAGACCAGTGGTTCTCAATCTGTGAATCACAACCCCTTTTGGGGGTCAAATGACCCTTTCACAAGGTCATATTAGATAGCCTTCATAAAAGGTATTTACATTATAATTCATAACAGTAGAAAAATTAGTGACAAAGTAGCAACAAAAATAATTTTATGGTGGGAGTCACTACAACATGAGGAACTCTACTAATGAATGGGCACAGCATTAGGAAGAGAACCACTGTTATAGACAAAAGCCCACAGTACTAGTATGTCCTTAGAAGCAAACAGTAGAAACCAAAATATCCATCATCTACTGCATGAACACACTGTGAAAGATCCAAAGCAAGGAAGAGACACGGATACATGCCTATAAACCTACCATATGAGAGAATGAAATGAAAAGTCAGATTGAGATTAGCATGTGGTACATAGTGGATTCCAGGCCATACTGTTCTACATTTAAAGACCTTATCTTCAAAAGAAGAAAAGAGAAAGAACATTCTACACAACACAGTATTTTTCAACCCTAAGAACAAATTGTTATTCTATAGACTTGGTAAACATTACACTAAGTGAAAGAAATAAAAGGTATAAAGAAATGAAAGACATAAAAGCCCACAAATTTTATCTTCAAAAAATGTGCATAACAGAAACAGAAGAACTATCAGTAGCTTCTAGGAGCAAGAAAAGAAGGAAACAGATAATGATGCCAATGCTACAGTTTTGAAACCTAAAACCACAGGTGACAGCTGAACAATACTTGAAACTAACTTTTCAGGTCTACTACTTTCTTGGTGTCGCTATGAATAATGAAGAGAGTCTAAATTTATAATCAAGAGTTTGAATCAAATTCTAACATTTTTGGGGGCTGGAGAGATGGCTCAGAGGTTAAGAGCACTGGCTGCTGCTCTTCCAGAGGATCTGAGTTCAATTCCCAGCAACCACATGGTGGCTCCCCAACCATCTATAATAAGATCTGGTGCCATCTTCTGGTGTGCAGTCAGAACACTGTATGTATAATAAATAAATAAATCTTTAAAAATTTCTAACATTTTTACCAACTACATACATAGAAAAGTCACTCACCATTATTTCATTATAAATATCAACGTTACATATTCCAGATGATTTCAAGCATCAAAATTCACAAATTGCCCAAGAAAGCATTTTGTTAATTATAAGATAACTTACAAATGTAACCTTTTAACTTACATTCCAAAAATTTAATTACATTCTATTATATAGTCTAATCCTTACAGTACCAATCCGGTTACTGTTTCCTTGGTCGGGAGACCCCAATCTCTTCAAATATCAAGAAACTGTAGTAGACTGACAGAATCACAAGAAGCCAGTGGTTTTCAAATAACTTTGAAGTTATAAAAAGCATCATTTAAAACTCTAACACAGCCAGGCAACGGAGGCTCATGCCTTCGATCCTGGCTCAGAAGTCAGAAGCAGATGATCTCAGTGACTTTGAGGCCAGCCAGGAATACACAGTAAGAACCTGTTTCACAGTCCTACTAGTTCAGCAGCTTCACTGCTCCTTGACGCCCTGGTGACCCCCAAACAAAAGTCATACAAGTAGGGGGAAAATAGTATAATCCTCAAATATTTTATTTATAAAAGCTGAAGAAATGAGAAACCTCAGCACTTTATGATTCATCTTCTCCTTTTCTTCATTATTTCTTCTCTTTTACTATGTCCCCCAAAGTGCCTGATATCTAACCCTTTCAACACAAGCCACTCTCTGCTCAACTGGTTTTAAGGAGTGGACAACCATTACTGTACTTGTTTAAATAGACTCTTCTAACTTTAAAACATGGAGGAATACCAGTTTCAACACAGGAACTTTAAACTTTAAATATGTGTCCTTTACTTTTCAGAAGGTTCGTTCAAGTAAATTATTGGTCCTGAAACTAAAAAAATTCCGAAATATATCTTTTTCAATTAGTATGAGATTTTAAACAATTTGTTTAACTTAAATACAAACCTGTATAGGTGGAATATCTGGCAATGATGGAAGGTTTTCTGGATTGGTGACTGAGGGAATTAGTTCTATTGCTGTAACAGATGGGCTGGTGGGACCTCGATTTGCATTTGCCATAGTTGCTGTAGTGGGGCTTGTTGGATTGATTGGGTTGTGTGCTGATACAACAGGAAAGGGTCCAGCATGCCCTGGGTTTGAGTGCTGTTTAAGAAAGAAGGTATTATAATTATGTGCTCTTGCCACCATCTCTGAACCATACCTTAGAACAATATAACTATCTTTAGTGTATCCTTTCCAAACTAAAAGTATCTGCAATTGACAAAGAAATGGAGCCTCTCAAACTTATACAAGAGAAGAGTTTGAACTAATCTTTCCTTTTTATGTACTATCTAGGGTAAACAGATTTGCAACTAATTGTCAACTTGTCAGCCTACTGATATGATCTTCAGAACAAGGATATAAAGATGTAGAAGGCACCAAGTTTACAAATAGTCAGCCATGGAAGGCACAGTTCTGAAGGCACTATTCTGTGATCCGTTAGTCGCCTATCTAATAAAAAAAAACTACAAATTTAACAATATGGTATAAAGAATGAATTTAAGAAAGAAATTATGACAGTGATTCCTAGTTCTAATACTATGAAGTTTTAAACAGTCACATAATCTCAGTAATTGTGATATATAGATAAATGATCCCTTAATGGTTTCATAGACTGGGCTGCTATGAGGATTATTTAAGTTAATATATGTGCAGGTCTTTGGGAAATCACTAAACATACAAAATTAAATCAATCAAATATTAAAAAACTAAAAATGCTGACAGTGACTTCTGAAGGGAAAACTCTAAAACCTAATGGTCTGATTCTTGGTACCCTTTCAAATGTTAAACCTTGGTACTCACAATATTTAAAAGTACACCAAGAACTAAGGGGTACACGAGTATATCAATAGTTACAAGGAAACTAGCATCTTCAGTCTTCCTAGGTATTATTTTAAAAACGTATTTGCCTAAGACTGTGTCATGAATGGTCTTTTCACAACTGTCCTTCTCTCACTTGACAAAGTAATGGCATACTGCTGAAAAATATGGGGGAAAAAGCTAAAACCAAATTACAAAGTTAAACAAAGGCACAATTGAAAAAGGACTTGGGTATCAAAGGGGCTGATACTGCAAATCAACAAAAAGGAAGAGCCAATAAACCCGACTAATGAAACACAACTGTGAAAAGCTCCATTAGAAAACATTCAAAAAAAGTGAGAAAATATTTTTGTAATAAAATTTCTACTCTCCAATTACATTAATTTTTATCAATTTTCTTGAGCATTGCATAAAAACAAAACACAGTAAGAATCAATTATTCTTATTTTAACAATAAATAGTAAAAAGGATATAACTGAAAAGGAGGTTACAAGACTACACTTAAGAAATATATACTTTAAAAATTTTTACATCATTTGATTAGTATTCTTTTTTATGTATATGAGCGCCTACATGTATATGTGTGCATTACACGTGTGCAGTGCCCAGAGAGGTCAGTAGAGGCCATCAGATACCTTGGAAAGGGAGTTACAGACAGTTTGAACACCACGTGGACACTGGGAACCAAAGCCAGGTCCTCTGCAAGAGTAGAAGTGCTCTTAACTGCTGAACCATCTCTCCAGCCTCATCTGTCTTAAACCACATAAACCTATTTTGTTTCCATAACTGTGTACAAATAATACAATGATAACTTTTCAACAGAAAGGATTTAAATCTTAGGAAAAGCCTTTGCTATCACTCGATTTAACCAATAATTTTTGTTAAAAAAAAATTTTTGTTAAAAATAACTTTATCTTTTTTAAAAATTTATTTTTATGTATATGAATGTTTTCCTAGCAGGTACATCTGTGCACCGCATGCACTGTGTCCGGAAGTATTCATATCCCCTGAACCTGGAGTTGCAGATGGTTATGAGTCATCAAGCAAGCACTGGAAATCGAATCTAGAAGGGCAGCCTTTGTTCTAACCACTGAACCATCTCTAAGTCCCACTTTCTCACTGTCTGTCTGAGCTATCTTACATCCCACTTTTGGCTTTCAAGTCAATATTTACAATATCCTAGAAGATTTTCACCACTAGTTACAAATATATAAAAATTTTAAATATAAGGTAATCAAACATTTTTCAGAAATCTTTCTGGGTGTAATTTTGGTAAAGAGCTACAGAATCATTGCTTTAAGTGTTTAACATGTAGACTAAACAAGCAAACTTAGAAGTTTATCCTAGTCTTTCTTTGATTTGGAAATTATTTGATTCTACTTAAGGAGAATTAGTTTCTGCGTATGTGTGCATGTCTAGCTGATGTAAACACACTCCATGTACGTAAGAGAGGGTGCTGCCACGCGAGTGCTATGAAGTAAAGGAAGGGTTCATAGCCTGAGCCACTGACAAACTCCCTATTCCCCAAATTTGAGCCTCGTTGGTTATGGCTCAAAATCTGTTAATAGTAACATCACCATTGCACTTTTAAATTAACCGGTGATTAAGAGCCTCTACAGCATGTTTGTTTAATTTTTGAGACAAGATCTCTATAGACCAGCCTGGCTTCCAACTCCCGCTACGTCTACTCTATCTCCTGAGTTCTGAAATTACAGGTATGCATTACCATACTCAGCCACAGCATGTTCATGTTTTGAGAAAGCACTGTTTTATTTTTTTTTTTGAAAAAAAAGAATATATTTTTAACTTGAAATACTGTTTAAAACACTTCATTTTATAATCATAGTTCATGCTGAGTTTACATAATTATGTAATTTAAGGGTTACAATTTTGCCTCTAAATCGCTTTATTTTTCGTATTTTATTTCATTTAAAAATTTTATTCATCTATCTATCTATCTAGGTGCTTGTGTGATACCTCCATGAGTTTCTGTGCAACACATGTGTGCATTGACTTCAAGAGCCAGAAGGCGCTGCTATATCTCCGGGAACTGGAGTTATAGATGGTTTGGGGCTGCCAGGTGAGTCCTAAAAAGCACACATAAGTCCTATGTAAGAACAGAAAGTGCCTCTAACCACTATGCCATTTCTCCATCTCTATCTAAGACAGTTGCCCTTTTAAGAGAAGGGCTAATGTAGCATAGGCTGGCCTTGAAATCTCCATGAAGCTAAGGGTAACTTTGAATTTATGATCCTCCTACCTCTACCTCTCTAGCACTAGGATTACAGTCATAGTTACTAAATCTGGCTTAATTTACTTTATTATTGTTCTCTTGACAGTAATAGAGTTTCCTGACAGTAATAGAGACCAAGCCTGGGGCTTCAAGCATTCTACAACTGAGCTAGATCCTAAACCACAATAATTTTTAAGATTAAGCATATCTATACTCTGCAGAAAAAAAGTATATAAACACATCTACATACATACATACAACTAGCCTTAAACTTAAAAATTTCTTTGATATCAGTATTAAAATGTAATGTTAAAAAGCACAATAAAATATGAGAAAATTAAAGCTCTAACCTTGATTTTCAGAATTATCATTTGGAACTAAAGGATAAGTCAAAAGTTCCTTCTTTTTCACTCTATAGATGAGTTTAGTTACACAAGACTACCTTAATTCATATTATAATAGGCTTAAAGAAACAAATTTTCCTGTGCACATATTTTTTTCTGGGACAAGCAGATATAAAACAAATTGTCAGAAATATCAAAGACCCACACCAACAACTAATTATGAAAAATAATGTCTTTTAGTTTTAAAATTGTATGATTCTTACAAATGTAACTCTAGGCATACTTGTCTTTGGAGGTGAGGCTGCATCATGGAATACTGAGGGCCGCTGTGCCTTGGTATCCCTGGTATTCTGGCAGCATTCTGAGCCAGTCTCATTTGATGGGCTTGAAATGCTCCACAGTTCATGTTGCCTCTTTGCATTGTTTGCACACTGATCAATCTTGGAGGCTATAAAAAGTAAAAATTGCAATTCATATTTTCCACTTTAGTTTTTGTTTGTTTCTTTTTCAAGACAGGGTTTCTCTGTGTAGCTCTGGCTGTCTGGAACTCACTCTATAGACCAGGCTGGCCTTGAACTTCCCAGGTACAGGGATTAAGGGCATGTGCCACCACATCCAGTTCATATATTTCTACAAATCTGTTTTTGAATCATAAAATGTAAAAGTAATTCAATTATAACAAAATAGTATAAAGCAATAGAATAAGCTCTTTTTTCTAGCCCCAATAATTTATAGGTCTGGTAATAACTATAAAAAAATTGGTCACTCCAAATTTTCTCTATCTATCGTTTCTGGGAGAGAGGGAAAGAAAAAGAAAGAGAAGGTGGGTGGGCGGGTTAACATCAATTCATCTCAGCATGGAGATAACACTTGATTGTGAAAAAGTACACAAACAAAAGACCAACAATAAGAAAAATTTGAGCAAATGCCTAAAGAATGCAACAGATCTTAGAAACAATCTGATTCTTTGGCTCTTGATTTTATTTGTATGGGGGAGGGGGTAACGTGGTATGGAGGGGCAAAAATGTCACTACTTCCTCTGTTCTTACGTAATACCTATATTCCTCAAACTTTCCCCACATCTCTGAACTTTGAACTCCATCTAATAACTCTGAATGTGTAATTCATATACACAGAATGAAGTGTAGTCGTATGGTTTTTTTTCTAATTTCTATCAATATTGGAGGGACACAATGCTTACCTGTTGTTGTAACATCTGTGGGGCTGTTTGCCGAGGATGCTGTTGTGTTGTTGCTGTTGTTGTTGGTACAGGAGCTGGCGGTTGCTGCATTCTCATCTGTTGTAACTGTTGATGTTTTTGTGCATACACTTGTTGCTGCATGTGCTGGAGTCGAAGCTGTGCTAAATTAATCTGTCCTGGGGTTTTACTAATGTGGTTTGTACCTGGAGGAACTTGCCCAACTACAACATTAGGAGTATAACCAGGAGCTGGCTTACTCTCTATTACTAGATTACCTGAGGGTTTAAAAACATAAGAAGGATTTACAAATAATCGACTAAACTGTCCACTTTAAAGATGAATCACTATCTTTTCCTCCTCCTAACAACTAGCACCTCAGAGCATCCAATAGCAAAGCATAAATGAGCACTAAGGCTGAAGACGGCAATTAAAAATTAAATAGATTCCAAAGCCCCTTGAACCCTCCCCCAAATAAGCTCATTATTTAAAATAGACTATCTGTTCTTACACCTATGTGCGCATGACATGTGTATGCGTGTGCATGTTTTGTGTGTGCATGGTTTTGGGCTGGTGGAGGTCAGAGGACAAGCTTTGGATATTAGTCCTCACCTTTCCAGCTAGCTTAAGGCACAGTGTCTTTGCTGCTGCATAACCCAAGCTAGCTGGCCGGAGACTGAAAGAGACATCATTAGAGGAAGGATCCAGTAGGTGTGAATCAATTCTTCCATGAAAGACTCCAGGATACTCATGATGGTTGCTATACTGATTCTATGTGTATGAGTGTGATCAAATGTGTACGAGTGTTTTGGCTGCATATATGTTTGTGAACCAACTACTGTATATGCCTGGGTGCCTGAAGAGATCAAAAGAGGGTATCAGATCCCTTGGAACTGGAGTTACAAACAGTTGTGAACAGCCATGTGGATGCTGGGAATCAAATTTGTGTCCTCTGAAAGGGCAGCCAGTGCCTTTAACCACTGAGCCATCGCCCCATCTTCCCATTTACTTTCCAATTGCCATTGTTAAGAGCAAAAGAATAACCTGCTAACAAATAATTTTCTATGGAAATCCTGAATGCTTTGAAGCATTTATACATTCAGTCATTTCCCTCCCTTTTTATACAGTTGTTGCTTTCTGAGAATAGAGAATAAGTTCTCAAAAGGTATGATTTAAGGTGGCTGTTGGCAGGCCACAAAGAACTCTGCTAACAGTCAATTTCCTTTACACTTTTTGAAAATGAAGAACACCACACACACACTTACAAGAGTGATTTTCTGGTACAGCACTGAAGGCAAAACTGAGAGTCCGCTTTCTTTTGTTTACCCAAAGATGCCTAACTTTAAATAGTGCAATTCATATCTCAAGGACATCATTATTTTGAAACTGAGAATATTCCAACAGATGGCAGATTTCATTTTGAGTCATTTTGTTTCATTTTACTTTTCTTTAAGAGACAGTATCTTACACTGTGTCACCTACACTGGCTTCAAACTCCTAGGCTCAAAGTGATCCTTGTGCCTCCATCTCCTAAACAGCTAAAATTACAATCTGCACTACTTGCTTGGCTTTTTCACTCTCAAGTTTGTTTTGTTTCTTGTTTTTATCACCTACCCACACAACTTTCACCCAAGGTCTTTAGACCAACAATATGGAGCAAGAAAAGCAAAGTTTATATTTTTACCAAGTGAAAAGAGTTCCTCTTGTCAAATACTCTTTGGGATGTGACTATAAACACTACAGTGTCCTCAAGTTCCTCCTCCACTGCACCACTTGACATAAACTAATATAAGAATTATCAGACAATAATCATCTCTATATGAAACAATCAACGTGAATTTTGAAAAGGAAAGACTACAAAGGGACCACACCCTACAAGGACTGAAGAGTAGAGAGCATGCTCAGTGTGCAAGAGGCCAGGGTTCAAACCCCAAGCACGAAAAGCAAAAATCAGCCTGCAACTAAACAGTTTCCAACACATTACATTCCTTATGTCACTCACATTTTAAAGTTTAAAAACATAGACAATTTGCTTAAATGGTTTCTCTTCTCAACTTAATAGCCCAAACCATATCCAAGAAATGATTTCTCACCTAAATTGACTACATTTTTGGCCCAGAAGGTAGGATCACAATGGAAACGAATTGCTCCATTGGCAGCAGGAACAGGATCACATCGTGCTTTCAAAATATGACGTAACTGAAAAGTAATCTTCAAGGAAAAAAAATTCACGTTAGTCTTAAAATTAAATGTAGTTAAGGTTAGCCTTGAACACACAATTCTCTGGCCTCAACTTCCCAAGTGCCGGCTCAAATTAGTTAAGTCACCAAGCTCAGCTACTCTATCCTTATATACAGATGGTTACAATAGCCAAAATGCATATTAATACTTTAAACATGTTTTTGTTTTTACAATATAAACATTCTACACTTGTAAATAATAGGTCTCACCAGCCGTTTGCTGTACAGTAGTGCCGTGCTGCTGCCACTTGCAATGGCCCAGTTTGTAAAGTTCATAACATGCTTCACCTGCCGGGAAAGGCCTGTGATATCATTCTGCTGCTGGAGTAGCTTCATTTGTCTTTCTTTTGTAACATTCTAAAATAGAACAAGAGTTTCACTGAAGAATTTTAAAAGTCACATACATAAATACCTATATTTCCTTCAAGAAATGGTACAAAGGAAGCCTAGAACTATTTGGTGACTCTATGAACAATAGGAAGGAAAGTAACAAACAAAAGTGAGACCAAATATTCCTGCTCTAAGTTAATCCATTCCATTCAGGACATCAGCAGTAGTTAATGATTTTTCTTTCATCAAATACAGTGTCTTCCTGTTTTTAGGTTAATTCAATACAGTCTGAGTTGACCTTGAAGAGTCATTTTATACAATCTTAACTATACTTTCTAGGTTAAAGAAAATTTGAGTTACTAGTGCCACCTACTGTTATAACTTGAGAAGGTTAAAATTTTTCTCAAACAAAGGGGAAAATGATAAATTCCAAAGGTCTAAGGGTGAGATTAAGCAAATTGGTATAACAAAGTTCAAACAAAAACTAGTTTCAGGAAAATGCTGCAGGAAGAATAAACTGCCCAAAATGAATCACTACCCAAGGAGGTGTGGCAATGTCCTATACATCTTGCCAAAAAGAACCTATCCACTTCTTTCTTAAACATTTTCTCTCCCCCCAAATTATATAACTTAATTTACTAAACAGTATTTTTCAAAAGGAAACAAGTTTATATATAAGTAAATGAAAGTGTTCAATAGACAGAATGTTGATTTGCAGCCTCACTAGAAATCATCAACTCTGCCAGGCAATAAAGCTGCACACCTTTAATCTAGTATTCGGGAGGCAGAGGCAGGCAGATCTCTAGATTCGAGGCCATTCTCATCTATAGAGCAAGTTACAGGACAGCCACAGCTACACAGAGAAACCCTGTCTCAAAAATATTCTTTTATACACCTTAATTTTAATATGCATTTTTAAATTCTGAAGCTCTTGAAATAGATTTACAACAATCACTTTTAAATGTATGAAATGTATTTATAATACATGAAAATATATTAAAAGTAGTTAATACTAACTGCTCTAGATTCATACGGTTATCCTAAAGAAAAAAAACATATTAGAGTTAAAACACACTGAATACAAGTACAATAGGAAAGACACTCCAAACTTTAGCGATATGTTCAAGATTTTTAACATCACTAATTTTCAATGCAAAATGTATTTAAAACACAAAATTCAAATATCTTGTACACAAGATTTCTTTCATTTGCATATAACTACCTGTCTCTCATACCTTTAAAAGGTTCTATGGATAAATGAAATAGAAACAACCATCTAAGGATAATCTAATTAGTTTTTTAAACAAAACAAAAACAAACAAAAAAAACACCTCAACTTCGATAACATTCACATTTGGACGGGCAGTGATGGCACACGCCTTTAATCCCAGAATTTGGGAAGCAGAGGCGGGAGGATTTCTGTGAGTTTAAGATCAGCCTGGTCTACACAATTAGTTCTAGGACAGCCAAGACCACACAGAGAAACCCAGCCTAAAAAAAAGAGAAAAATAAATAAATAAAAATTCACATTTGAAATTTTCTGAGAACACATCAACGTTGGGTAGTAAAGATTTAGATTAAAACTTTATCTGGGACCAGACAGTAGTGACATATGCCTTTAATCTCAACACTTGAGAGGCAGAGGTAGGTAGAACTCTCTGAGTTCCAGGTCAGCCAGGCCTACACTAAGTAACCCTGTCTAGAAAAAACCGAAACACAAAAAACTTCATTTGGATTACTACATATTAATCACAAAATATGAAACACAGAGACCTAATACTATAAAATTAGTAACTAAGTTTAAGGTTTATGTATTTCAAACTATGAAACATTTTTGGCAAATTACAGAAATACATACATGGCTCAAACATAAGCCCAACTGCATTCATATAAAAAAGTTAAATTGAGGCTTCTTGCTATAAAGGAAGAAAAGAAATTCAAAGAGCTTGCTTTGTCTTCATTTACATCATGCTTTAGTAATAATTCTTTCCTAAGACAATATCACAATTATCTAGTTACATGGCTTGAAAAAAGAAAAAAATGTTTTTTGTCAGGCATGGCAGTACATGACTCCCATCCCAGTTCTCGGGAGACAGAGCTAAGCTCTATAGGTTCAAGACTAACATAGTGATTTCCAAGTCGGCCAAAAACCAAAAATCAAACTGTTATTAAAATTAACAACAAAGTAATTGTAAAACAAAACCTAGTTCTCTATCCCATGGTAACAATCCTGGATTCTCAGAAAAATGTTGCAAGGAAGAACACCCCCCACCCATTTAAAAGAGGTTTGAGCCGGGTGGTGGTGGCGCACACCTTTAATCCCAGCACTTGGGAGGCAGAGGCAGGCGGATCTCTGTGAGTTCGAGACCAGCCTGGTCTACAGAGCTAGTTCCAGGACAGGCTCCAAAACCACAGAGAAACCCTGTCTCGAAAAACCAAAAAAAAAAAAAAAAAAAAAGGAGGTTTGAATAAACATTGAGAACAGCGGAAGAGCAAGAGAAGTAGTTTTTGTTTTACTTTTGTTTTAACCATACCTCTAGCTGCTGTAAGAGAGATTTTCCTTTCTTATTAATTTCATTGATAAGGGTGAAAATGGCCACTTTAATTTCTTGTTCTACTCGTTTATTAGTCTCATTTACTTCTTTGATCCTGAATAAGAAAAATGCATCATTAGGTTATCAACACAACTTGTGTCTGAATCATTCAACTAGGCACTTTTCCAAGTAATTAAAGTTAAATATTTGTCAGCATGCACAGGTGATGTGGAATTCCCCTCTGTATGTTGTGAATACCATAATAAAGAAGCTGCTTTGGGCTTATTGCAGTGCAGAATAGGACAAAGTGGGAATTCCAAACAGATAGAGGAGAGAGTAGGTGGAATCAGAGGAGAGAGTAGGTGGAATCAAAGAAGAGCCATGTAGCCACTGAAGGAGAGAGACACCAGATGGAACCTTACCAGTAAACCACGAGCCTATATAAGAGTTAGCCAGGAATATGCCTAAACTAATAGGCCAGGCAGTGTTTTAATTAACACAGATTCTGTGTGATTACTTCAGGTTTGGGCAGCAGGAAACAAACAAGCAGCTTCCGACTACACACAACTTATGTTGTAGCAGACCTAACCATTTAATTAGATTCAAAGTCACACAAAGAATAAATTCAATATTTAGTGATTTAAATTAAGATTATGAAGGCCAGTTTATTTATCTGTAGAATATCAAATACTATGGCATGAACGTGATACAAATACCTAGCACTACTGACTGTCAATCAAATTTGCTACATATATTGTCTAATCATATTTGAAAATTCCACCTAAGATGCTTTCTGAAAACAAAATACAAAAGAATATCACAATGATTAGTTACAACCTTTTGAAACGGCGGAAATTTCACTTAAAAGCAGCATCTATTTTCATTTTAAGGTTTATCACTTCAAAAATGGGTTCTAGTTAAGATTGTCTCATAATTTCCTCTCAAACTGGCTTAATACTAATACCTCAGAGAGTAAAACATTAAATCATTGTGGGCAGGGAGTACACCCGTTAGCAGTGACCCAGGGTCTGTTTTATTGCTAAGAATGTGTTTTATCCCCAAAGATTATAAAACAATCCATTTTTAAAAATAGCTCCTACATATTTCATAAATAAATATATCTACCTATTACAATTACACATATTAAAGTTCTGGCAACAAATATAAAATGTTAGATTGCTTTCATATTTATAAAATGAGAAGTCATCTCATTAATAAAAGTAAAATATCACTACCCAACCATAATATCTAGTCTTTATCTTTTATGTATTCTACTAATGTATACACTTTCAGCAGCCAAATACATTACAATTTTTCACACATTCTCATCAATTTAATACAATTTTCCTCCTTTGTTCTGTATCACTGCTTGTTTAGATACTTATTTGCAACTTTTATTGAATTCTGTCCTTACTAAAGTAAATGGAAAACAATAAATAAAAAATAAAAAGTTACTGCTGAGAGGTAGTGGCACATACCTTTAATCCCAGCACTTGCGGGGAAGAGGCAGGCAGACCTTCGTGAGTTTGAGACCAGCCTGGTCAACAAGGTGAGTTCCAGAACAGCCAGTACTATTACACAGAGAAAGCCAGTCTTGAAATGCTACCCCCCCAAATACTAAGTGTGCGCACGCATGAACACACACCCACACAACAAACACACCCCATGGATAGTATTATATTCAGACCTCCAACATAAAACAAAACAAACAAGTCTCAGACTTACTGTACTTTAAAACGTATCCATTATAAACTACTGGGGATGGGAGGAGCTGGAGAGCTGGCTCAGAGATTTGGAGCTTTTTCAGAGGTTCCAAGGTTGATTCCCAGAACCCATGTGGCAACTCACAACCGTTTACACCACCAGTTTGAAGGGATATAACACCCTCTGGAATCTTCTACCTCCAGGCATGCAGTGGTACAGATATACACACAGGCAAAACATTCACACATATAAAAAATAAAATAAAATTTTAAAATGATGTGGGCTGGAGATGACTTTGTGGTTAAAAGCACTTGCTGCTCTTGCAGAGGTCTTAGGTTCATTTTCAGTACTCATAACCATTTGTAACTCCAGTTCCAGAGGTTCAAATCCCTTATTCTGGAATCTGTGGGTACGCACTGCTGCATTTACAGATAAACAAGCAAACACACATACAGATATTTTTTAAAAAGTACTTTGCAAATGGAAAAACATTGAATAAAATTTTAAAATAATATGGAGCGGAGTTGGAGAAAAGTTGATTAACAGAACTCGCTGCAAAATTAAAGACTGAAGTTCAGATCCCAGAAACCATACAAGCCAGACTCAAGGAGTCTAGTATCAATACTGAATCCTCTGGCAGGGCAGTGAGTACTCAACTGCTGAGCCATCTTTCCAGCCTTGCCTTTTATTTTCTTTTGGTCTCACTGAAGATGAAAATTTCAATCATAAACCATTAATTTTATTCACTCAAATATTTAATACTTTGTATGTCTTATTATGTGTCATTTTACCATCATGAACTAACTAGTGGTTTCAATATTCAAGACAAAGTTTCAAGATCATTGAGTCTACTCAATTAACTACAATCTAATTCATACTCTCAGGAATTTCTAGGTTTAAAGTGTTCCATCCAGTTCCAAGTATGTGCTTTTCCAGTGACAAGAGTCCTAACCTTATTAATTTGCCCTCTTTAGGACTTATTACCACTATCCCTATAAATAATCGAGTTTGTTTATAAATATACCTAGCCAGTCCTGCATGTCCAAAGCTGCAGGATCTCCACAACACAGGACAACAACTGGATATTCAAGGAGTCCCAGTTAGAGCCCAGCATCAACAGTGTAGCAGAAACCAGAGGCCTCAAACAATACTAAAGCCTCTTTACAATGAACACTTGCAAGTAAAGATATGTGGATAAAGAATTTACCATGTCACACTACTTCCAAGAGATTGATTTTTCCTTCATTTTTTTTCCTCTTAAATTTTCTTTTATTTTGGGGAAAGGATGAAAGGGCGGAGGGTGGAAACAAAAGGATGGGGAAATGAATGGAATTGAGATACATGATGACAAAAATCTGTATTATAGATTTACCTTGTAATGCTACTAGTAAAGTAAGTGGTTTGGAATGTTTGGTGGGAAAATAAATCTCTTCACTCCTGTGGGTTATTTTGTTATATTTTCTGTAAGTTAGTTGTGCTGCGCCTGCATACATTATGTGTGGGTGAGAGCACAGGGTACAGTCCAGAGAAGATGCTGGATGCCCTGCTCTGTATCAGTTCCCCTCATTTCCTTGAAATGATGTCACTGCACCTGGAGCTAGGCTGGTGGGCAGCAAGGCCCAGTCATCCTCCTGTCTCTTCTACCTTTCACTGCTCTGGGCTTACGGTGGGTGTACAGCCAACCCATACTTAGCTTTCTATATGGGTGCTGGGCTATTAGGTCCTCATGCTTCCACATCAAAAATTCTTACCCACTAAAGCCTTTGTCCATTATCAATATTCTCTTTACATCTTCCATACAATTTCTACCTTTAATTTTATAATTCAGTTCTCTCCATACTAACTTATTTTCCAAGTTCAAAGCTCATGTACACTGAAGTCTTATTAATTATAAAAATTCAAAGATGTATCCTTAAAAATTTTAAATGTTTTTGACAAACTTTAATTAACAAATACATCAAGCTCAAATTTTATCACGGTCTATTAAAAATTACATCTCTATGAATGTTTAATGTAGTAGGAAAATAAATCTAATGTAGATGTAGTCTTCCTTAATAATCCTTAAAGCAAAATTGTTTTTTATGCAACAAACTTACCTATTTTGAACTTGTGTAGCTGCAAAATGAACGTAATTCTTCTTTTCAAGAAGCTTAGCCAACAGATTTTCAATTGCACCTTTCTGATTTTGAAACGCTTCTTCCAAAAACTGATACCTTAAAACAAATAAACAAAGACTATATTCAAAACAGAGAATTTGTAATTAATACATAGGAAATAATAGTTATGAGTCAATTTTGAAGTAACTATCTGCTGCTGGTCACTTGTATATCACTACCACAGCAACTTTTTTTTTTTTTTTTTTTTTTGGTTTTTCGAGACAGGGTTTCTCTGTGGTTTTGGAGCCTGTCCTGGAACTAGCTCTTGTAGACCAGGCTGGTCTCGAACTCACAAAGATCCGCCTGCCTCTGCCTCCCAAGTGCTGGGATTAAAGGCGTGCGCCACCACCGCCCGGCGTTACCACAGCAACTTTTAACTGGCAATTAAATAGCTCCTGTCTGGAAAAACTTCCTCAGAAAACTGTGAGTACTGTTACATCAGAGTTTTAATTGAAGACGTCTATTTTTTTTTAATCCAACTATCTGAATAAGGTGCATACAATTGAAATCATAAAATACAACATACTATACAAATACTATCAAAATCACTAAAGTTCCAAAATAACTGCTATCAGTCTGTGCTTATCTACTCAGTGACTGAGTTCTGTAAATCAAATTCACATGCTAGGCAAGTACTCTAAAACAGATCTACACCCACAAACCTACTTAAGCATTTTGAAATAGAACTACAGTCATAATACACATGCAATTTTGCATTTGATTTTTAACTATCAACTATGTTTTATGAGGCTTTCCAAAGAAGTTGTATCAAATAAAGACATCAATGAAGTTTTTACTCTAAAAATATCAATAATTATACATGCTCAAATTTTCTAATTATAACACTAGAAATTTAGATTTAATGTTCAAATCCTTGGCTACTAGGATACTTTTATTTCATTTTTATAAATTATTAACTCAACAAATTAATTTTTATATGTCTCTTTTTCTCTTTTTCTGGTTTTCGAGACAGGGTTCTCTGTAGTTTTGGAGCTTACTCTGGAACTAGCTCTTGTAGACCAGACTGGCCTCAAACTCAGAGATCTGCCTGCCTCTGCCTCCCGAGTGCTGAAATTAAAGGTGTACACCACCGTCCAGCTTCTTTGTTGTTCTTTAGTGTACTTTCTATTTAAGTAAAAAGACTCGTGTGGTTCACAGTATAGTAATAAGCAGGCACAAATATGCACCGATACCACACTGTGACAAAATATAATATGTACCAAAACCAGGTGTCTGAAAATAGCTTCAATACCTAGGGAAGCTTCACAGAGAAGTCCTTCAGACAAATGTTCAGTGCACTGCTTAGTGCATTTTCTACAGAGTCAAAGAATATGCAAATTGCCATAACATGAGACAAAACCTAATTTAAAATAAACTGAGTATCAAGGGCCAGGTATACTATGTCATTTCTTTGTTTTGTTTTCTAAGTAACAAGAAGCCATTGAAGAATTCTAAGCAGAGCCAGGCAGATCTCTGTGAGTTCGAAGCCAATTTGGTCTACAGAGTGAGTTTCAGGACAGCCAGAGATACATAGAGAAACCCCTGGGGGTGGGGGGATCTAAGTAGAATATGAAAATTCAGACCACTCTAGGAAGATCATCCAACAGAAATGTAAGACTAAAAACTACACAAAACCTAAATGAGACAGTATAAGAGTAGTTTAAACTCAGACAGAAGCACAGGCAAGAGATCAGGGTACTTTTGCTGGTTGTTATAGCCAAACCAGATAAAATAATTGATTTTATGAGAGATTAGACGTTTTAGTGATGTGAGAAGTCAATTAAGGCAATGTTAAGAGTACAGCAATGAAATCAGATGAGCCCAATGGTATGTATAATAATGGCATGAAAGTTATGGGGGTGATCAATTACTTTGGATTTAATTACACAGAATAAGATTTGGGCACCATACTGTAAATCTGGCCTAAAGTCCAAGGCTTGAGAGGTCATGGGCCCTAGACAGGAATCCTACTACTGTTCTTCTGCTAAACAAGTTGTCAAATTGCCTTCTAAATATTTATGCTCAGATCTATAGATTAGGCCTGTCTTCAATCCTAACCAGAGAAACTTCTCTCTGCAATACCCAGCAGTTAATGCAGGCCTACAACAGGTCAAAGTGATAAGAATAAGTCTCCACTGAGTTCTCAGGTCTAACTAAATGGGACACCTGTATCAACAATACCACCCCACCCACCCCTGCCCCAGCTGACAGAATATCACAGAAGGGCTTAAGAATATAAGAGCCAGAGGACAGGAAGGGAATATGAAATGGTCATTCCATCCATGGACTCACTACAGTTATGATCCACCCACATAAGATCAAGTCAGCAAGACCAGTCAGTATTCCACAGCTAGTAGCACTAACTTGACTGAGTGGGAAATAGGACAAAAAGAGATCACAAAAAGGGGGTATTGGCAGTGTTAAGCATGTGGGCATGTGGGAAAGAGAAGGGATTCCTGGGAGTAGAATACAAACTGGGGTACATATGTTCAAGATGCATTATTTACATGTATCAAACTATCAAAGAATAAATACAAGCTATCCTTTACAGGGGAGGGGAGAGAAAGAGAGTTGAATGCCTAACCAAAGCAGAACCAGACCTTCTCCCTCTACCATCTTAACACTTGGGAGGTTGATGAAGAACTCCCATCAGCCCGGTTCAAGTTTTGAGGTCAGTTTGGGCTATAAAATGTGTCTATAGCAGCTTAGGATAAGGTGAGACCCTGTCTCCAAAAAGCAAAAGGGAAGAGGAAGAAAAGTGGGTCAATGGGGATGAGGAATTAAAGATAATAACAAAATTACCGCTGTGTATTTACCGGATACTGAAATCACAAATGGAAAGGCAAGAATTTAAATGAGCAAGAAAACTGTAAACTCAAGAGTTGGTGCCTGAGCTAAAATATTTAAAGAAAAAGCTGTAAAATTAACATAAAAGAACACTTGTTACCAAAAAGTTTTTTAATAGTGGGATTTGAAAAAAGGAAGAATGGAGGACAACAGAAGGGAAAGTGAGGAAGAGGCAGGAGAATTAGGAGACTAAAGCCAAGGTTGGCTTCAACAAAGTAGAGCATGGATCTCTGTATTACAAAAAATAGCTGGAAAGGTGCTAGCTTTATTTGTGGTAAAATATATATACATATATAATAAAGTCTCTATATAAAATACAATAAAATCTACCAGCTTAACCAATTTTTAGGAGTCCAATGTTCATATGGCATTTTAATTCCAACAACTGACTGCTATTTCTCAATACAAAGAATAAGTAAGTAGTAGAGGATGCTGGGGGGGCACTTAACATTATATAAATCTATCATGTTATTATAACAACATAAATCTCACAAACATTATGCATAACTAATGAAACCATACCCAATTAAATACAAGCTGTATGATTCAATTTTTTGATGAAGTAAAAGAATTTTTGGGTAAAAGGCTGTTATTCACCCACCCTTGCTATTTTTAAAAGAATCTAATGGATTGATTGAATCTATACTTTCCCTCTTGATATTCACTAGAGATGGAAAAAACCATTGTCACAGATATTTCTTTTTTTTTTTGTCACAGATATTTCTATTAGTCGTTTTAAGCATACAGTGGGAACCACCTTCAAAATTCATAGATAGCATGAAAAAAAAATCAAAGAACTAGAAATTATTCTATACCTTAAACTCAGACCATTCTGAAAGTTTCTCTTCTGCACTTCTTAATAAAAACTAATTGTCTTTTCATACGTTTTGGTGTCTGAGTCAGAAATCCTAATGCCAACAGCATCCTCTATTCTCAGTTTGAGATCGCTACTCAGTTATCTTACAAAAAGATATTTTTTAATTAAAAAGCTTTATTTTAATAGATTTCTAACATGACTGCATAAGGAAAAGTACAACACACAGAGATGTATTCCTCAGGCCAGGTCCCACACATAGAAAGGTCAAGCTGAATTTGCGCCTTGCCCTTTTCCAGCTCTCTTCCACTTGGGCTGTAGCAATTCAGTGTCTGACATATCTATCTATCTCCAGGTTACACAGTTCTGGTCTAGTCAACTCCTGGCCAGGCCTCAAGCTAATACTTCTCTAAATCATCTTTACTTCCTGCATTGTAATTTTCCACTTCCTAGGATAGTTAATATTGGTCAATTACTCTTTCTTAGGGATCTTCTGTGTCTACAATAGCAACAGGCTATCCAAAATGCAGAGAACTGATTGTGAGGTGTCCCAAGGATATGTAAGTCACAGTTTAACCATTTTGTTTGTTTCTGAGAGGGGTCTCACCATTTGCTCTGCCTATCCTAAAACTCACTATGTAGAAGAACCAGGCTAGCCTCCATACGGGATTACCACTACGTCCAACTCCAGTGTAACCACTTTTAAGAAACCATTTTGAGAAAACCATTTGGTTGGGGGGTGGGGTAAGGGTTTCTCCTTTTTAAGTTTAGGGCCAGCCTGCACTACAGAGCAAGTTCCAGTTGCGATGGAGGGGGCTTCCACATTTTAGATAAAGCATTTTATCATTCTGACATGACTTAGATATATTATGCTTCACAGTCAAGAGTTGGATGACTCTACATCCTAATTCTCTTCAGTAAGATACATAATGATATTTAACTTTATCAGACTGTCCTAAAAATTACATTTGTCAAAACACAAAAAGAAATTGTGGACACATTAAAGATTTATAGCTAGTCATTGTTATTCTTTGTAACATTTTTCTTTTTAAAAGGCATGGTGCATGCCTTTGATCCCAGCACTCGGGGGGCGGGGGGGCAGAGGCAGGCAGATCTCTATGAATTCAAGGCTAGCCTGGTCTATACAGGGAGATCCAGGACTGTTACTACAGAGAGCCCTGTCTCAAAAACAAAACAAAAGAAGCAAAAAGAAAATGCACTACTATTACCATTTCATATGTATGAATGTTTTGCCTACCTGTACTTAAGCACTATGTGTATGCCTGATGCTCTTGGAGACCTGAAGATCCCTCCAGAATGTCGTGACAGATGTTTGTGAACCACCATGTAAGTGCCACAAACTGAATCCAGCTCCTCTGGAAAAGTAGCCATGCTC